GTGAAATGATTTTTATGATTTTCAAAGTCATTTAAAAAAAATACGGTTCTAAAAGATTGTTTTAATGCTAAATTTCTCAGTAATCATTCTTTACTTTAGGTGAGTCTAATATTGTTGAAATTGGCGAGTGGCAAACCGTTGATATTCAACTCATTAAATTAGAAGATTGGATAACTAAAAAAGAAAATGATTTGAAAAAATACGATCTACCACTTGGTTCAATTAGAGAGTTGGAACAATATATGCAAGAAGTTGAGGTAGGTTTATAAGCTTATAAACACGCACACACATCTGTGTGCATGAATATATACATACATATATATATATATATATATATATATATATATATATATATATATATATATATATATATATATATATATATATATATATATATATATATAAAATAATAATAACAATAATGTATATAATATATGTTATATAAAGGATATATTATTATATATATTATATAATAGATAGGAAATCGAATAATACATGCAAGCCAAAATGACGAAAACAGTTTATATATAGTCTATTATAAATTTGCTAGTCGTTTAAAGTTTAGAGTAATATTGAATCAAATGTTATCTTTTCATTTTTTCCGATAATGTTTTTGTAATTTCAAATTGTAAAACTTTGTTGCTAGACAACTTTTCTTTTGTTAGCTATAAAAAGTAGTTGTTTTGGTCTAGGCAACACTTTGATAGATATAAATACTCCGTTGAAAATAATTGGGGATTCCCTTTGGTGTTTGTTTTGTTCAATTGTAATAAAATTTTTTTCTTTTTTTTGTATTTAACTGCTAAAACTAATGTTAAAACTGCCAACTATCGCGTTGCTTTTTTTTCTATGAAAACGTTTTCATTTTTTTGTCGTTGATATAAATACAAAATTATATAAATTTATTCTTATCAAATTTTTTCAGTCGAAACTTTTAGTTAAGTCATTTTATCTTTAAATGTGTTTTTTTCTAAAGAAAAACAAAATACAAAGTATTTAATAAAAATCTTTAATATATAGCGGTTTATGTGACGTGTTAAGGTAAGCTTTTGGTACTCGTAAATAATAAATGATGATACGCAATAACTTGTCGCGTTGATCCCTTTATGCTAAAGGCTAAACTATTGCTTGCTTTTTGACAGTTTCCTTAGAGCTTGGTGATGATTTCAAATGATGTCAAAGGAGTCCGGGATAGTTATAAAGAGATATTAAATAAAAAGAATTTAAAAATATATGTATTTATTTCTCATGCATTTTTGTAAAAGTTTTTAATCCGACTTAAGTGTTTTAAGCATGATTCTTTAAAAGCAATATAGATGAGGGGATTTTTTTTTATTATTATGAGAAAATTTTGACAAAAGAAATTACGCTTGCGTTAAAACTCATACTTTCGCTGAATAAGAAAATAATTATGGTGTTTTGACTAGTCACTTTTTACTAAAGTTGTTTTGTATATTGCAAAGTAAAAGAAACTTGAAATTCATAAGTGATCTTGAAATTTAACAATTGAAAAAATCGTTTTTAACTTAATAAATTGCTGAGTTTGTTCTGGAAATTTCGTAAACTGTAAACAATACCAAATTATGTTTCATCGACGTTTTTCGCGACGCAATAGTAACGAGTCTTCACGTTCAGATGTTGAAAATTCACTTCAAGGCGAAAGTAAACGAAGTTCTTCCAGACTTAGTTTAAACTTCAAACCAGGCAAACGTTCTTCATCAAGCAGCGAACAAAGTTCGCGTTGGAGTCATCATTCTGAAGGCGAATACTCAGAAAGCAACGCTAGTTATTTTGAATCGGGAGGTTCATTGCCAAGAGGTTTCTCTCTAGCAAGCAAACTCCAGAGTGAAAGGAATTTGAATGAGAGATCAAATATCTCACAATCTTCTCGTAAAGAAGTTACCAGTCCTTCTCGTGATCCATCGGCGTATTTTGCTGCTTTGAAATCTCCTAAAGCAAGTGCTTTAGACAGAAGTCGAAATTTCAGATATGAATCTTCACCTGATCTGGGAGCATCTATGGATGGTCATCAATTTACAAGACCCCATCGACTATCGCAAGAGTCTGTTGATCGTCAAAATGAATGTGCGTTAAGAAGGCACAACTCTGGATATATTGCAGCTTTTAAGGTAAACGCCGAGTCATCTACTTATACAACTCGTTTTTTGGTTATTGAAGACGTAGTTATTGCTAAATTCATTTAGTTGATGAATTTTCTCATCTGCCATACGAAAAAACTAATAATAGTTGCGTTAAGATCAATTTTTTATACAAAATTATTTTTATTATAATCTAAATTATTTAGTCACCTTTATTGTAGGATAAACATTCCAGATGGTTGTCTAATATACTTTTCTAATGAAAGTTTAACAATAACATTAATTATAATAAATAATAATTAGTAATATTTTTTAGTAATGATTTTTACTTTAAAGCAACTAGGACAACTTTTACCCTCAATTCCAAACTTAAAAGATTAAAAAACAACTACAATTATTTTTTAAAATCTAAAACTTGTGAGAACAAAAGAAATGTTTAATATGAAAATCTAAGTTAAATATATAATTGTAATATATAAAACAACAACAAAAAATTATATAAATTGAATTTATTAAGTTAAGAAGCATTGGTATAGTGGGAGATTTTGGTTGAAAAAAATTACAGTATTAAAAAAAAAAAAAAAAACTTTTTTTTATGTCTTTTTCCATTTAATTTGTTTTTATAATAGTTACTAACGTAAAATATATATTGTATTTATTAAATTACTGTTCATTTTTAGAATGTCCTCACTGATGTACGCGATCACGAAATTTCAGCTGAAGAAACATTAAATGCAGGACGACAGTTTCTACAGGAAAATTTTTCTCTCATGCCATCAACAACGCGCGTTAAGGTAGAGAAAAAAGTTGCGGCGCTGGAATTACAATGGGCAAAGTTACAATGGGAGTGCGAGGGTCGAAACACTCGTTTAATTATGATTCACGATATGCTAGGCAGTTATGAGAAGGCTGTGCAACCTTTTTTAGTAAGTATTCAATTTTGTTGGTTTATCACATTTGAAACCTTGAGACGAATGATCACTGAGAACCTATATTACTCTTTAAAAACTATTTTCCATAAGGGTTATATAAATTTTATATAAATGATGTCTGCTGTTTTGTTAAAGACTAAAAACCCGTATCATTATTATCTTTACGTGATAGTATCGTGCGTTAGTCGATTGCAGATAAACTCGTAATATGTTGGCTACAAAACTAAGTTTTTATTTTGTGTTGCTATGCAGAGCTTAGCAATGGTAATTCAGTATGATATAAGGATAATATGATAACAAATAGCAAAGATATAAATAAAAAAATTTAAGTTTCAATTAAGTAGGCAATAAGTTGTGTTGCAAAAATGAAAATATCTAAATTACAATACGAGTTTGCGTTAAAAAAAAAAAAATTTTAATAGAAAAGGAAACCAAAAAAAAAAAAAAGGAAGAAAAAATTGCGTTTTTATTATTTCTAAAAATAATTGAAAAACAAGACTAATACAATTAACCTCAGACTATCCTTTTGATCAATATCATTAATGTATGGTCATTCCCCGTAACCTAGGGCGAGGAGATGACTTTTTCAAATAACGTGCATAAGTTTGATCAGAATTATTGTCAAACGGATTATTATTTCAAATAAAAACCAATGAGGCGTTAAAGTAAGCTATATTAGAAATTTTGGTTTGTCTATTCACTTATTACATGAAAACCTTTCTAGAAAGGATTTCGTAGAACTAAGTTATGGAAACTTTTACGATTCGCGTGCCTCCGTTGCGTCCAGTTATAAACTTCCAGGTAATTCATGTTTTATTGCCTAGCTTTATTTTTATAAATTATATCTAATTAATTATTTAATTTTTCTGAATTTGCATTTGAGATTAGTCATTCCCCTCCTCTCCTGGAATTTTATTTGCCAGTTTTGAACAAAATGTGTCATAAATGTTGCATAAATCTATCATTTAAATATTTTTTTTCCACAATAAAAGTGTTTATTATATTATTTGGAGTGATAGTTTTAGCGTGATAATTTATTGCTTGATGTTTTATATTCACATAAAACATTTTTATATTTAATTGCGTTAGCGCAAATTACAAAAAAGTTTTACCCAATGTTCAATGCACAATCATTAAAAAACAACAACTAAGACTCTACACAGCTTTTAATTATTTTTTTATTTATTAAGATACAATGTGCAGGTGAAAAATACAGATGAAAGCAGTTTCTTTTTAGTTATTGTATTTTGCATAATCCAAATAAATATTTTTTTTAAAAATATAAATCTATAACTATAATAAACAATTTTTTTACATCCCACCCATAAGCTTAATTAAACCGTTTCAAAACGCTTAAAATAATCTAACGTATCTCAATTTTATGTTATGTTAATTAAACGCAACAAATATCTAGTTTCCGTCTAACAAACAAACGTTATTTAAAAGAGACTTAAGTATATAAGAAGTTTAAACTATTGATGTGTCAAAATTGTTTAAAGATAATATTTTTTATTTAATTAAGTTGTGTAACTTTTGTTTGATGTTGTTTTAAAAAATTAAAAACGTTGATAAAACCTTGGATTTAAAATAAATACCTTTCTTTGTTTTCTTCTATTTATAAAGCGAAGCCAAGAAAAACTTATTACACATTTTAATTCTCATCTGTACATAAATTTTTTATTTATTTAACAATCTTATATCGTGATACAATTAAAAGATGAAAATATTTACTTCGTGCTAGATAGTACGCATTGTTATAGTTTTTTTTTTATTATGTATAATTATCTATTTTAATAAATTTGGGAAGGCAAAAATTGTAGAATAAAGTCTCCCCTCACGTTATTAACACAAGATTTTTTAAATTCCGCTAATGCTCCTCAAAAAAATGTATATCTTTTCCAGAAGTAATTATTTTTCATAATTAAAATATTGAACTTTTTTTTTCAGAAATTTAATAAATTTTAAGGATCTTAAAAGTTAAATAAATTTTAATAATCTCAGAAGTTTAATTCAATTTACTCAAATATCAGTGCGTAACTATTTTCTTAGTTCTTAAATATTCTAGAGACTTTTCGCAACCTGAGTGTTTTGTTGTTGCTTTGTCGATGAATTTAGAAATCAATAATGTTGAAATAACTTTTATAATACGTTAATAGTATCAACTTTTTTCCAATTTTTTATACTAAATCGTATTTTTAATTTTAAGCAAGTATTTAAATTTAGATTAGATGGTGATTTAGTTAAAAGGTTATTTAATTTATTTTTTTAGTTTTAAAAATGAAGCTAAAAAACTATCCCAGATTATTGTCTAAATAATCATTTTAAAATGATCGTGTTTCAACATTTTCAAATCAAGTTAAAACAAACAAGTACTCGAAGTCGCGTTCTAGAAACTTCTTAAAAATTCTAAAAGACTTCATAAAACTTTACAAAGTTCTCAAAACTATAAAATCATTTTAAAAATAAATCCTTTTTGAAAATCTTGGAATGATCTCGAAAATTTTATAAAACTATAATAAATACAATTTTTGATAATTAATTTGTAAGTTAATTAGTTTTGGGTTTTAAGCGATTAAAAGAAATCTATTCATGAATTTTCGGCTTGAAAAATCCGCCCATAAGTTTTTGAGAATTTATGCTTGTTGAATTTAATGATCAAATTATTATGTAAAAAAGTAATTTATTAAACTAAATGATAGCGGCTTCACAAAAAAAGCTTGAAGTTTGAAACGAAATTATTTTGTTGATCCTCATAAATTTTTTTCAAAAGTTTCAAATTTAAAATTTAACAAAGAAAAACCACAAATAAGCTACTAATAAAATATCAAAATAAATAGCGACAGGTACGGAGTTCCTATCCTAGAAATAGCGGCAGGTACAGAGTTTTCTTACCCTTGAAATAGTCTAAGGCAAAGTCGCCACCGAATGTCATCATATGTTAAACCGAAAAAATGCAAAAACCCGCCGTTTTACTTGTGAAGATTCTACAAATAAAACATAAAATAAAAATAAAAAAAAAAAACACAACATAAAAATAAAATAATAATAAGAAAAAATAACCCTAATAATAGTAATAAAAAACAGAAAAGAATAAATAAAAAAGTATAATAAAAAATTTAAATAAATCCTTTGAAATTTATTTACTTTGCTTTTTATGACGTTTTCAAAATCTCCAAAAAATATGCACAAATAACATGCATAAAATTTATTTCAGACAAACTTTCACTTTATTAACCTTCTCAAGACAGAAAGAGTCTAAATTAAAATTTAATAATCATATTATCTATCTTCTCAAGGCAGAGAGGGTCTAAATTTTCTTAATATCTTCATTAGTAAGGTCTTTAAGTCTTTAAATACTGCAGCTTGATTTTATTAAGTTGATCATATCACAGCATGAGTTTAACAACATAAATTTCTTTTAATCAGGCTTTTGGCCAAAGACTGGCCTAAAACTTTTGTAAATATTCGACCTTCATATTATATGATGGTATATCAGGGAAATTATTAAATTCTTTTTAAATATATTTAATAAAAGTATATCAGGGAAATTATTAAATCCTTTTTAAATAATTTTCTACTCAGTATTTTAGTTTTATAAAATTATAAAGTAGGAAAAAGTTGGAAGATCTTTAAAATTTCAGTATATCTTGATCATTCTGCTGATCCTAAATCTATATATTATAGTTTGTTTAAAAGTCTAAATTAAAACCTTTGATAAAAAAATTTCATCTAATCACAATTTTTTTTTGATCTTTATAAATAGTAAGTCTTTTTTGAATTTAGTTTTGCCAGTTTTAGTTTTACAAAATTATTATATATATTCAGGGCCGATGACACCGGGGAGGGGGGGCAGGGGGCACGTGCAAACCCCCACCCCTCAACACTTTTTTTCTAAAGGACTTTTTTTTTTTTTTTAACAAAAATCTTGATACAGAGGACTTTTTTCACAAATTGATGATTGTGTCCTACCCCCCCCCCCTCCCTCACTTCAAAACCTGTGTTGTTGGCCCTGATATATAACTCATTAAATTAAAGTGAATAAAATATTTTAATTTTTCAATATATATATTTTTAAATATTTTTGGTATATTCTCACTTTCTTGCATTTTCTGATTCCTATAGTTAAATTTTTAAGTCCTCTGCTAACAACTATCTTGCTCTGAAATCTTACTCTATTTATTTTTTAACCATTTTCATTTTGTCACAAATTATTTCTTGCAGCCTTGATGCAAATAAGTTTGTTATAAAATGATTTATGCATGCATTTTTTGTAAACACCAAATCTACAGATTTGCTATTAGAACCTACAGGCTACTTAAAACTTCATATTTTAGGAAAACCTCATATATATTATAATTTCATATCTATAAAAACTTCATATCTATTAAAATTTTATATTCTAGGAAAGTGCAGTTAAGTAACCTTTAGTACTTTCATTATAAACCTTCATTATAGTAATTAAAAAGTTACCCATTTAAAAATTATAATACTATTAAATGTTTTTTTTTTTGCATTTATATTATTTTTTCTTCTAGATATGGTTGAAGAAAGCAGAGCAACAGGCTCAATCATTTCATATTAATGCTCCTGATTTAGAGAGTGTTCAAGACTTATTTAGACAACATCAGGTAATGATTATGACCATTGCATTAACTCAAAGATAGCAATAGCTTTATCTTTGAAGTTTATATTTTTATTTTATTAATTTTATTTTATCATCTTTATACATTTGCATGCTTCATAGTATACATTTATCAGTTGTTTTATGTTGTTATTTTAGTATTGTATTCATTTGATATAGAATTATTAGGGTTTCCATGTCAAACAAAGCATGGGGGAAAACTTGAAATCAAATACTTAAAAGCAGTTACCGCCACAATATTAAAATATTTTTGGTCTAGACTTTGAATATAATTTTCCTTATTATTTTATTCTTATATTACTATACAGATATTTGTTAATGAAGTTCGTCGTCATGAAGCTGATCTTCAAAGAGTAAATCACCATGGTGATGCATTTTTATCTGAAGCAAAGGTGATTTATTTTTAATGTCTTTGAAAATTGTTGTTTTTTTATTTTATTTTTTAAACTAGAGTTTTTTTGTTGTTCAACCCATTTAAAAGCCATTTTGTTTTTAATGTTTTTATTACTTATCAACAATCTCAACGTTTTTACAAAAAAATTGTTAACTATACATAACATTTAAAAATACAACTTGTGACTCTTGTCAACAATTAATGGTCGTTATAAAAAACGTTATAATAATAAAAATATGCAAGGTGTGGCTTTTGTCAATAATTAGCAAAGCTAATTATTGACAAATTATTGGCGCACATTAAAATCATAATATTTTTGTTTAGGCATTCCAATCAGAACTGGAAAATTATCTTTCCAGTATTCCTGATTCATTGTCCACTACAGTCAATACCACTAGTCAAACATGGGTACTTGAGCGAAAGCTTCATCAAATCAATGACCAGTATAAAAAACTCATAAGAATGCTTTCCTTTAAAGGTAATCTCTTAAGCGAGTCTATTGCTAAGCATCAAGAATATGCACAAAAGTTGCAAGTTTTTCTACCATGGCTTGCTGAAGCAGAGCGTCAGCTGGCTCGTGAAATGCAAGAGACTATACCATCAGATCCAAAAAAGTTATATAAGAAGATTGAAGTTATTAAAGTAATTTATCAATTACTTATTTACATACTATTATTAATGCTCTTTCTCTCTCTCTCTCTCTCTCTCTCTCTCTCTCTCTCTCTCTCTCTCTCTCAATATATATATATATATATATATATATATATATATATATATATATATATATATATGTATATATACATATATATATATATATATTTATATATACACACATATATATGTATATGTAAATATATATATATATATATATATATATATATATGTATATATATACATATATATATATTTATGCATATATATACATATATATATGTATATATATAAATATATATTTATGCATACGTATATATATATATGTATATATATACGTATATATATATATTTATGCATATATATACATATATATATGTATATATATAAATATATATTTATGCATGCGTATATATATATATACATATATATATATATATATTGTGTACATATGTATATATATACATATATATATATATTGTGTATATATGTTTATATATATTTATGCATATTGGTTGTGTTTTTAACATTTTTAAACAATGAAAATATTTTTTTTCATAGCAATTTAATGGTGATGTACAGGCCCATCATCATAATCTTGTTAGTATTCAAATGTCCTCTGATGTACTTACTAATCTTGAAAAGCGAGATGATGAACATGTAAAGGGGGATACTGCTATTTATGCTCCTGGTGAGAGATTATTTATTTTTTTGTATATTTAGTTTTATATAAATAATATTTTTTAAAACAAAGTTATTGACAGTAAAAAGTATATAAGGTAAGTTTTAGAAAATTATTTTAATCAATATTAATATAAATTAGATCTAACTAATTAGAAGTAAGAAGTAGAATTATCTTTTCTCACAATAGTCTAATCAGCAGTTTTTAAGGAGATCATCTTTTCATCATAAAGAATGCCGAGTAGATTCTTTGTTATATAAGTTGTATTTATTCAAAATATTGGAAATATTTTATGTTAGATTCAAACAAAAAAGACACACATTGATCAATCCAACTGCCCAGCATTATTTTATATATTTTAATAATATAATATTTTATATAATAGAAAAACTTGTTAGAAGAAATGTACATTTAACATATATTGTAACTAGAAATATAATGTAACAAGAATACATTGAAACTAGGAACACGTTTTAAAACAAGAATACATTGTAACAGGAAATGTACATCAATTTGTTTTGTAAAAACATTACAAGCTATTGTCTTTTATAAATAAACTGATTTTTACTGGTACTCATTCAAAATTGTAACTATGTTTTTCAATTTGTAACAGTTTAGATAATTTTAATTTCGTACTTTTGACTTTTTTGAAAAGTTTTTCATTCTATTTTCAGTAAAAACCTTAGTTTTAAAGATTTTTTGAGTTAAAGCTTTACATATTAAATTTTCTTAGGTATGTGGCTTCGTACAACAACATCTGTAATAAAACGTTATGAAAACCTTAGTATTAACACTGTCAATTTTGAAAGTCAGCTGCAGTCTCTTTACATTACTGTGCAAAATTTTGTTGAAGGCATTGAAATAATGTTTAAATGGGGAGAATCAAGTTATGCAACTTTGAAAAAAATGAGTCCGATTTCTAGTGATATATTTACTCTCATTCAGCAAGTTAGAGAAATTAAGGTATATGTTATTTTTTAAGAAATTTTTTATAATTTAATTTTTATAATTTAAGAAATTATTTTAAAGAAATTAAAACATAAACTATTTATTAAAGAGATAAGGGTATATAATATATTATTTAGGAGAATAAATATATGTTATTTATGAAAAATTTACAGCAATTTAAAGTTTGTTTGTGTAAAGCATTTTTGTAGCTACTTTTAAACAACCAAATATTTATTTAGGTAACTCTAATTGAACTAGAAGGTCGACAACCAAGTCTTCTTACCCTTCTTCAAACTTTTGAAAAAGGGAAATCAGATAAATCTATTATGAAGCATATGGACCGAATTAATTCAATTCGAAAAACATTTGAAGAATTACAAAGAGATGCTTTCAATCGTAAGGAGGAATGTGTTGCATCTTATCTAAAATATGTTAGTGAATTTGAAATATGGCTTGAGAGAGTTTTAAAGCGTTTAGTATCTTGTGAGCTGTTAACAACAGATATTCTTGTGTTTGAAGAAAATCTATTGGTTAGTTTTAAGTTTTCATTGTAATCTTATTTGTTTATAATTGTTTAATATCTTTGTTATTATTATTATTATTATTATTAGCAGTAAGCAAACCATAATATGGGTTATTAGTAATTAAATCATTAGTAACAATAAAAACACATTAATAACTTGATATATAATCTGAAAAATTAAATACAAAATTATCTATAAATAATATTTTAAGTTTGACTCCCTATCAGCAATGTCATTGCTTATAGTTAATGACATAAAGACCGCATTAACATCAGTTAAGTTTTTTTAAAATCTTTCACAACCAGAAAAGAGTAGTCAAGTAAATCCTGCAAATACCTAAAAAAAGAAATGAAAAAAAAGATACAATTTTTAATTACAAAAGCATTATTTGCATTTTATTGTTAGTAGAATTAGGATAATAATATAACAGAAAATATAAAGAATAAAATAGCTATAACAGCCTAGGTCTATCAACACAAAACACAGTAACAATAGCGCATAGCATAAAATAGTTGTAAGTGCACATTACGTGTTTTCAGAATAATGAAAAAAGAAAAGAAGCTTCAGCTTTTCTCTAACTGTTGACAAATAATATAGTAAATATTAATATAGTAAATTTCACATCATATTAAATTTACAAAATTAAAAACACATTTCAACAGTAAGCAAACTAATCAAGTGATGACTAAGGCAACTTAAAAAAAAAAAAACATAATTATGTTTGAAATTATAAAAAAATTTAAAATCATTTAAATATAAAACTGTTGTTAATTGTTAATATAAATAGTAAAATTCATACTTTGCTTTATTCTAAAGTATCAAAAGTAAAATCAAATTAACAGACATTAACACTGTTTGACACTGAATTTTCTGGCAAAAAAGGTTTCTTTAATTAATAATTTTTTCGAGCCTAATATTATCCATTTCAATTTCACTATTATCATTAAACATATTACCAGTAATATTACTATTGTTACAACTGAATAATAAATGAATGTAAAAGAATCTTACAAATTATGATCTTTTCTAATCAAAGACTATTAGATCTTTTCTAATCAAAGACTATTAGATCTTTTTTAATCAAAGACTATTAGATCTTTTCTAATCAAAGACTATTAGATCTTTTCTAATCAAAGACTATTAGATCTTTTCTAATCAAAGACTATTAGATCTTTTCTAATCAAAGACTATTAGATCTTTTCTAATCAAAGACTATTAGATCTTTTCTAATCAAAGACTATTAGATCTTTTCTAATCAAAGACTATTAGATCTTTTCTAATCAAAGACTATTAGATCTTTTCTAATCAAAGACTATTAGATCTTTTCTAATCAAAGACTATTAGTCTTTGATTAGAAAAGATTAAGATTGATCACAAAATTATTTTTACCATAATGCACAAAAGTAATAAATGCACAATCTTGTAGAATAAATTGAAGCTATGTCAATCAGTATATTTTACTCTATATATATATATATATATATATATATATATATATATATATATATATATATATATATATATATATATATATATATATATATATATATATATATATATATATATATATATATATATATATATATATATATATATATATATATATATATATATATATATATATATATATATATATATGTGTATATATATATATATATATATATATATATATATATATATATATATATAAATATATAAATATATATATATATATATATATATATATATATAAATTTTCACGTACCTACAAAAAGTAGTATAACACTTTAAACAATGAAATATGGAAAAACATCATCATTTATTTTTCAACTAATTATTTATTTTTCCTATTCTGTTATTTTTTCTAAGAAAGAATATTTAGATACAGAGAAAATATTTTGAAATATAGTCACATTTATGTATATAAACTTTCGTGCCAACAAAAAACAGTCAGTTTTTATATGTTAAATACATAAATCATATATCTAATATAGTATATATCTAATATAAAATAAATCTGATATAAAATAAAACAAAATAGTAATAGTTTTTTTATCATTTTTTTAAATATGAATTTTAAAGAGTTTTTAAGAATTAGGCAACTTAGCTAAGGGTAATTCCATGTCAATTGAGCCAGAAAATTTCAAAAATGTCACCATACATCTCAGATTTTGCTGATTTTTATACAGTTGAGAGTACTTAGTAAAACAAAAAATCCTTGAAAATTTTAGCTTCTAGCTCCAAGAGGATCATGAAATATGATCATTTTACTTTTAACTAATCTTGGCCAGGCCCCTCTTGTCCCCTCAGAAGTGTGACCTTTGTTTAAAGGTTCCAAGTCACATAGCTTTAAAAATATTTGATCTTTTAACTTAAAAATTTGTACCTGGCTATTTTCAGGGTCGAAGAATCTAATGAAATAATCAGAAATGTAAAAAAAAAATTTTAAGTACTTGTAATTATCAATTTAAATAAATTTAGGCAATTTTTTATATACCTGGTTTTGATGCTCAAGAAAGCCATGTAGCCTTGATGATATAAAAAAAAAAATTGTACACATTATTCTATGTTTAATGATCTTTCAGAAAACATAAAAATTTTGATCTGCAAGTATATGGATTTCCATATATGGTTAACGGGGCACAGGCCCCACTATTTTGTAGCAGAATCTTGCCATACATTTTTCACTACCTTTCAGACTAGCTGGAACGATGAAAATTTTAGTATTTATGTAGTGTCAATAAATATGCATTTTAAAATTAAAAAAGGGCCCAAGACACTAGAGGAGGGGGCTGGGGGGATGTGCCCCACTTTTTTGACCGGAATCTTGAGATGGATTTTTCAGTATCTTCCAGACAAGCGTGAGCTTTGAAACTTTCAGCATTTGTGTAGTCCTGATGAACATGCTTTAAAATAGTTTCAGGTCAGACGACTAGAAGGTCCATGGGGCTGGGGCACCAGGGACCATGCCCCACTTATTTTCTCAAAAAAAAAAATTTTTTTTTTGTCTTAAATTTAAGATAACTTTGAAAATATTGTATTTAAATATTTTATTGCTTTATGCTTGTTTCGTTTTACTTCATTATTTACAAAATAAAATACAAAAAAAAGAAATTGTCAAGATAATGCTAAGATTAGCTTAGATGCATTGACGGTCAAAGTATACAAACGTCCATTTGTTGTTACAGGTGCATCAATTATACAAGTTATGTTGGTAATTGGAACCCAACACTCATCTACTCTAGATGGCCAGAAAAGTTTATTAAAAGGACCGTGCGGGTGCATAAATGTTACCATAACATCTTGCTCTATATTAACAACTTCATTGATCATACCAATCCAATCAAACGCATCATATTTACACATAATGAATTCACCAAATTTCAAGGCATCAATGTTAATTTGCTGATCATTTTGAGAACTTTGAATACCAGAAAAAGAAAAAATGCCTGTTATATGAACATCTTCACTTGTTCGTTTAAAGCTAATAGTATCTATAGATTCTGGTTTAAATTGATGATAGCTCCTAGTTCCAGGGATTGTTCTACTTAGCTCAAAACGTGTTTTCAAAGTGGTGCGCAATTCTGTCAGTCTTTCTTTTTCAATCTTGAAAAAAATAATCCCTTTAATATTGTTAGTACAGTAGTCAAACATTTTGTTACAATTCAATATCTGGTCATTTATGGGCCTTTGTAGACTTGCATTTGTAGTTAATCGTTTTACAATGCCACCAATACCATCACATGATGACTTACCATGACTTGTAGCAAAAAATGTCCACTCTGCATCAATGTCAAAATCATTTTTATGGAGACAGATATTGTAAAGGTTTTTGTGGTTTTTATACTGTGCAGCACAACCATCAGAAAAATAAAGAATCTTTGAAATTTTAGGATGATATTCTTTTAAATAGTTAACTATTTGTGTTTGAACTTCATACACAAAACCAGTGTCATGCTCATTATCTTCTGACATGAAACAAAACGATTTTTCTTCAAGTTGGTCATTTTCGTTTAATAAATAGAGGGCAACAGGGTGCAATGTGCATTGACTTTTGCACCAATGGTAACTTTGGATTTCATCTTGAATCACAAAAGTGAAGTTTTCTGCAAAGTCAACTAAGACAATACAGCAGTTTTTTGCTAAATTTTCCTTTTGTTGCTTTAGGTATCTTGATTGACATTTTGCAATGTAGGAATGAGCTGTTAACTTGTTTATTGCCTCTGATAACATCAATTTGTATTCTTCAATAGTTGTTGTCTGATAGATCAATGTCGTTCTGTCTGTTTTCTGCCACTGATTGAATGACACCTCCTCGTCATTGTCATTATCAATTAGTTGTGCATTCAGAAACTTCTTTAAAGAAACCATACCTGGACAGTTCGGACATCGATGAACCATGCACTCGTTACTTGTCACATCACAAACAACTTTTGTCATCATATCTTTGTAAGTACATTTCATTTGTATAGCATTGGTCAAGAGTATTGCATTTTGATGGAGGGTACATACACAAACAGAATGAGTGCCTGATGCTCCAACAGTTATACACCATTTTGGTCTTAAACTGCAAAACTTAGAAAATCCAATAACTTCTTGAGGATATTTAGTTTTAAAAGAAACATAAAGTTCTTTAAGATTACATAAAATAAGACGCTTTTGCATGTGTTGTTTTCTACCAATACTTACGTAATCTTTTTTACCAAGCATTTGTCTAGTAAATTCTTCATCATGGTATATATTGTTGACTCTATTTAATGTTATTTCTGAAAATGTTTTTCCTTTCTTAGTGCCTGGAACTGAAAAAATCCCACTCATTTTCTTTAGTTTGCGCGCTTCTTTAATTTGGTATATAGTGACGTTGAAATATCTTGCAGCAAAATTTCTTGACCAAGACTCGGTTGTAAATGTTAATAACTGAATTTTAGTTTTTTGGTCAGAAACAATTAACTTTTCTTTTATTTCTGCTGTTAGTTTGTCTAAATCATCACATTTACTTTTGTCAATAATTTTCGTATGAGGAATTTTATGCTTCAGTTCTTCTTCCCTAACATTATTTACTTCTGAAATATGCTCTTCATACTTTGACATTATTTTTATAACTTTACTTTTAGCAACAGATAGCCGTTGATGCTTTGGAATGCCATGAAGTTTTATGGGGGATACACCTATTGTTTCCAAACTAACATTTAATGCCTCTCGTGACTTTTCAGAAGTAGCACATGAAATAGATTCCTCAAATTCACAATTATCTTGTTCATGAAATTTACTGATTATAGCGTCAAAGCAGCTCCGACAAAGTTGATATCCAGGCACAACATTTGGAAAATTAATTCTCAATTGCTTTGCCATGTCTAATGTTATTACATGACTCCCTGAAAAGAAAAGAACAACTTGATTTTAGTAATTACCTATGAATATGAAAATTATTTGTACTTATTTCCATATACATTGCATAACCAGATCAGCTTTTTTTTCAAACTTTTATAAACTAGTAGGTTTTAATTTCATTATTCAAAAAAGATTTTACAATAATTTTTTATCAACAATATTTACCTTTGATTGCTTTTTTTTTTGATTTATGCTTGTCTAATAAATTGCAACATTTTGTGTGCTTCTTTTCAAAGTGTGTACCAAAAATCTTTTCATGATGAAGGCAGATTGTTAAAATTTTATCATCTGTTATTCCAGATCTCCAAATAAATTCTTCTCTGGCATCTTCTCTATAGCAATCAAATTTCTTTAAATCAATCTTTCTACAATAACTTATTTTATGACAAGTATCATTTAATTTTTTTCCAAAATCACACGAATCCATTCTTACTGTAACACTAAAAACATTTTGATATTAGTTTAAAAATGAGAAACCATTAGTAATTAATTCAATGAAAGCAATCACCATGGTAATACAAAACTAAATAGTGATTGATTTCTTTTATCTTACTTTGACAAAAATAAAGTTTTCTTTTCACAAAGTTTAATTATAATCAATTTGTTAATGTTAAAAATGTTAATGATGACTTTAATAGGTAACAAATTTCTTCTATACTAGTGTAATGACAGGATGTTTTTTGTTACTGTAAACAGTTCTTATTTAATAAAATAACTTGCTGTTAACATTTTAGAATTAGCAAATATCAAATAAAATAATGATTTTGAAAAATTGATAAATTTCTTTTTTATTGATATAATGTTATGACAGGATGTTTTTTTCTGTTAAAAGTTAATTAAACAACTTGCTGTTACCATTTTAGCATTAAAATATATTAATCTTTTTTAAATTAAAATTTTAAATTATACAAAATAAAATTATGGTAAAATCATTATTTTAGACAAAATTCTTATAAACTTTAACTTTCTTAAATCATTTTAAGAAAGATCATTGAACAATGATCTTTCTTAAGAATGATCAAAAACCAAATTGAACAAATATAAATCACAAAAATTTGTGGAAGCAATGTTACCAAAGATATGTTTAACATTGTTAAAAATAAAAATCTAAAAAAAAATTTTGAAGACAATAGTTTCATGTGTTAAAATGTGTTAAAAAAAAAAAATTTTTTTTTTGAGAAAATAAGTGGGGCATGGTCCCTGGTGCCCCAGTCCCATGGACCTTCTAGTCGTCTAACCTGAAACTATTTTAAAGCATGTTTATCAGGACTACACAAATGCTGAAAGTTTCAAAGCTCACGCTTGTCTGGAAGATACTGAAAAATCCATCTCAAGATTCCGGTCAAAAAAGTGGGGCACATCCCCCCAGCCCCCTCCCCTAGTGTCTTGGGCCCTTTTTTAATTTTAAAATGCACATTTATTGACACTACATAAATACCAAAATTTTCATCGTTCCAGCTAGTCTGAAAGGTAGTGAAAAATGTATGGCAAGATTCTGCTACAAAATAGTGGGGCCTGTGCCCCGTTAACCATATATGGAAATCCATATACTTGCAGATCAAAATTTTTATGTTTTCTGAAAGATCATTAAACATAGAATAATGTGTACAATTTTTTTTTTTTATATCATCAAGGCCACATGGCTTTCTTGAGCATCAAAACCAGGTATATAAAAAATTGCCTAAATTTATTTAAATTGATAATTACAAGTACTTAAAATTTTTTTTTTACATTTCTGATTATTTCATTAGATTCTTCGACCCTGAAAATAGCCAGGTACAAATTTTTAAGTTAAAAGATCAAATATTTTTAAAGCTATGTGACTTGGAACCTTTAAACAAAGGTCACACTTCTGAGGGGACAAGAGGGGACTTGCCAAGATCAGTTAAAAGTAAAATGATCATATTTCATGATCCTCTTGGAGCTAGAAGCTAAATCTTTCAAGGATTTTTTGTTTTACTAAGTACTCTCAACTGTATAAAAATCAGCAAAATCTGAGATGTATGGTGACATGGCCTGGCTCAATTGACATGGAATTACTCCTAAGCAAGTTTTGTTTTAATTTTTAGTGCAATTGGAAAGAGCTGAAAGCTTTTTTTTAGAGCAATTCAAAAGAACTGAAGTGTTTTTTAGTCACTTCAATTCAATTGTTTGTTTTTTTTCAATAGAAGGGTTAATAATAAAAAATTTTTAGACAGTAGAACTGGTACTGATTTGAGTAAATGTTCAGGCTAAATTTTTTTGATTAAAACAAAAGAATAATTGCATACTAAGAAAAACAATTTTTTTTATTTTAGTTGAAGCTTGGCTTCTCTGTTTTGTTGTAGGCCTAAAAGTCAGCACCATATACGTCACAATCTACAGACTTGATATCTTATTCAAGTGTGTTTTATTCCTAAGAGTTTTAGTACATGGTGTCATTGACTTTTTTGTTTGTGTACATAATCGATCTATTACGCAAACAAAAAAAATCAATGACATGTAAAGAACAATATCAACATTAAAGGCTAATAAAAGATCCCCATCCTTAAAAAGTTGACTGGACTAATTATTAGTAGAGGTATTTAAAAAATTCATAAAAATTAACAATAATTTGTTCTTCTATATAACATAAATATATCAAATGATAAATCTGAATGAATAAATGTAACGAATAAGCAAACACAAAGAAAAACATATATGAATAAAAAATCAATGTACCAGAGTAGTAGTTGTTAAATATTGTTATTTCATGTTAGCTTTTAGAAAACAATTCATGTTGGTACCTTATGGTTCTAAAATATCAATTTGAGATATAAACAATATGTATATATGGCATAATGATTTTTCTTGAATGGTTTTTACTGAATGATTAAAAGCAGTGAGTTCCAATAATGAAATCACCTATTAATCATTTTTAACAATAGACACCAACACAAAGGTAAGCCAAAAGAAACAACATTAGTAACATAAGTAACAACATTATGTTTGAAATGATAGGATTCAACGCATATTTGAATTATATTAATTTAGGATTTCTTAAAACTTTTTTTTCTAAATAAATAAGTTTAAAAGTAGTAATAAACAATTTATAATAAAATTTTTATTAACTCTTTTAATGTAAAAAAGTGCATAAAAATAGTTCTTATCCATACCCCTAATTTTTTTCTAAAAAATAGTTAGGCCTTATTCTTACACCTAATTTCTTTCTAAAAAAAATATAAGCTCAATAAAAACAAAACTGTTAAAAAAAAAAACAAGAACAAAGCTAAAAAAAATAAAATATGAACAATTTTAAAAATTAGAAGGGGTGATCCTTTCTAATTTTTATTTAATAAAAATGTAATATATAATTTTCTAAACTGTTTTATATACTTACCTCTTTTATAATACAGTGTTAATATTGCTATTATAATTTATCTAATATTTTTAAACTAATAAATAATAATTAAATTCCAGAAAGCAAAAGGTTTTAGCTTGCTTGGTTGATCATTCTCTAATGATCGCATTCATTTTGAGAACGCGCTCTTTCAAGAAAACCTAGTAACTAATTAGAACTACTTTATTAACAAAAGAAAAACAACAGTACTATTATTAAATTAGAGTGTTAATATTAAGATTATTATTATTATTGCTATTATTATTATTACTATTATTGTTATTATTATTTAACTGCAAAACATATCAGGTAAATACTGTTAAAAAATCAACCTAACAATTTATTTATAAACAATACTATTAAATTCTTTATTAAATTTAAAACAAAAAATTTGAAATTACTTAGAAAAAACATTTAATATTTAAAAAAAAATGATTTTCTTTAATAATAACAGTTTTTAATAAGTTCTGTAGTCTGTTGTAACTATTTTTCTTATATTTTGTATTTATTTTATGCTTTTATTTTATTATTTTTGTTTTATTGTTGTAAGTTTGCTTTGTTTTAGTAATATTTTTGTAATTTTTAGAAACTTTCTGAAGATGTGGAGTTTCATCGTCAAGCGTTTCAGTTTATTAATCAGTGTGGGCATGAACTCATTTCAATCAACAAAAGCAAACATACTTCTACCATATTACCTGTCTTAGATAAAGTAAACAAGATGTGGCAAGCAGTTGCTATACAGTTAATTAATCACACTAGAAAATTTGATGAAGTTGTTAAATGCTCAGAGAAATATCATTCAACATTGCAGCCACTTTTGCAATGGTTTGAAAAGATGGAGGGTCGTATTACAACTATTGCTCCAGTAGCAATTGATCCTCAAGTGATTTTGGAGCAATTGACAGAGCAAAAGGTTACTATAGTTACTAGGAAATATTCAAGTTTTAATAGTTTTAAAAGCTTTTTTCAAAGCAGAAAGTATTTTTATTATTTTAAATTTAGCATTTTTTTTAATGGTTTTAAGTTGTTTTTTAAAGGCACTGTTGAATGATGCTTGCAATCACAAAGGGACAATTGAAATTCTTACTCATATAGGAGAATCTCTAGTGTTTATTATTTATATTCAAGATCGAGTTGTTAAAGGTAAATTTTGTTTTTAAAGTTTTTAAAATTTTTCTGAAATGGACTACATTTGTGGAGGCTATTTAATTTTTTTATTTTTATTTTTCAATTTTTTCAATTTACAACACTCTCTCAGCTCTAAACTCTGAAACCTCTGCGTAGAGAAACAAGTTGAGATTTTATTATCAATATGCGATTTAATTTCATAGTCAACAATGAGCCCATCTGTTTTTACATTAGTTAAAAACTCAAATATAAGTTACTTCAAGCTTCCATTCATTGGAATGTATTCTAATTATACTAAAATGAAAGTTAAAAGATTTTTTAATAAATATTGCAAAGATGTTCTAAAACAATTAATATTTACTACTAACAAAATACAAGATAATTTTTGTTTAAAAGATCCACTTCCCATGCTGCTTAAATCTCATGTTGTTTACAAATTTTCTTGCGCTGGCTGTAATGCCAGTTATATTGGAGAAACTTTAGTGTTTTTTAAAATCAGACACTTAACAGCTAGAATTAATGAGCACCTTGGGACTGATAAAAAATATCTGGTCTTCATAATTTTTATTTATGCAAAACCATGTTTTTATTTTATAACCGTGTTTGTTTTTATGGAGCAATTTAGCTTAAATTTGTTAGCGAAAAAGTTATGAAAAACAACAAAACTTAAACAAATACTTGCTTTATAAGTAACGCGCGTTAATTTTACAATCAACTAATCAAAATTTTTAATTGGTTGTTTTTAAAAATTACATGTGCTTTGCGGACCATTAGTAACATTTTTAAAAATGTTAAACTTTATAAAAAATTTATCGTTTTGTATTTTACATTTTGTTCATGTACATATTAGTTTAAGTTCCTTAAGTTTTTAATATTGTTTGAGTATCCATTCTACTTTATTAGATACTTTTCTACTTCAATTAAAAGTTGGAATTACTTATGTTGTTTGAACAAAGAATGAGTTATGAAAGTTATAAGTGCGTTATAAAAGTATTAACACTGTTATAGTTTAATTACTTTTACAATGCAGTTAGAGAATAGTGTTGTTACTTTGGTAGTAAGTTTATTGTTTTGATTTGTTTTTTATAAGTTTTTCGCTAACAAATTTAAGTTAGTTTGCCCCTTAAAAACTAAGTACACGGTTTTGCATAAACTAAATTTTAAAACTAGATATTTTTCCAGATATTGCAAATCGCAATATCTGGAAAAATATCTGATTTTGTAAAATTTTATAAATGTATATAATTACTTTATTTGCAAACATGATTTTGATATTTGTTTACAAAGATTAATTTATAATACATTAATAATTCATCATATTCAGTAACATAAATGAATAATTTTAGAAGATCGACAATTGACTCCAATTGAACTTGAGGTAAAATCATGCCGTGATAGATATGATGATATAATTACAGTGCTTGAAGCTAGAGGTCTAAATCTTGAATCCACGTTGACCCAATCTGAACAATATCACGTAGCTTATAATGACATTATGGCTTGGTTAGATTGTGCAGAAGATATTCAGATGAAATGGAAGCCACTTGGATCTACTTTAGAAATTGTGAGATTACAATATGTTGAACACCAGGTATTACTGTTATAACTTGTAACAAGCTTTACTTTTTCTTAATTTTGTTAATTTGTATAATTTTTAAAATTTTATACATTCTTGCATTCATATATTATTTATAATTTTTTTGCAATTATATTAAAATAATCATATGTGTCTTTTAAAATTACATAAAAAACATAAAATGATTTAGATATTTCACAGAGATCTTATAAATGGTTCCCCAGAAATTCGCCAAATGCTTGAGTATGGAAAGGATTTGATTAAAGATCGTGAAACTGTACGCGGTGCACCTGCAGTACGATCTCAACTAGATATTGTTGTAAACAGATGGGAAATGATGTTAAGTACATCCAATAAGCGACAAGTTGATCTTGAAAATGCACTAGGTCAACGATTTAAAGAACGTGTATATCAAATAAATGTATGGATTAAAAAGAAAGAGCTCGATGTTCAGAGTTTTTGTCAGAAGAAACAGTCACCAGCTGACATTAACAAATATATTGGGGTATTGTTTTAATCTATTTGCAATATCTTTTTTGTATCTATGTTTATATTTTGCATGTGTCTTTAAACAGTTTTTATGAACTGTTAGGTTTTAAAATTTCAATCTTTGTACATTTTTTTTGTTAGTTTAATATTGTTAGCAATAATTGGTTGTATAAAAATATTATGTTATAAGATTCTATAAATTATTTTTAGGAGTTACTTATTGAAATACAGCGGTATGAGTATATCTTTTTAACAGTCCATCGTTCATCTAAACAGTTAACTGATGCTGGTCAAACAGATAAAATTCAAGTGTATGAGCTATTAGCTGAATTAGATGATCTTTGGAGTAACTTAAGCAATGTTTATCAGACATCTGAGTACTTTTCTGGAAAAGTAAGACTTAGATCACCTAAAGAATTGGAAAGTGATATAAAAATGGAAGATGAGGTAATGAACTAACAAGATTTCAAGTTTTAAATAAAAAGATGTTATAAATATTTTTGGTAGTTATTGTAGTGTTTGTTGATATAAATATAACAGAATATAAAATGGTGAATATAACTATTATGTTTTATGGCTACCATTTTAAATATACCTGTAAAATTAAAGTGAATAGAAATATGATTTGTTAACTTGATATAAATACGATGCTGTTTTTTATCATTTTTATTGTAAACTATGTGGTTTGTTTTTAGATTGCAAGTTTTTTGGAAGGAAATCGAAAGCGTAAAAAAATAAATGAGGATGAAATTCCACAAAAGTTTGCATCACTTGATACAGATTTTCCAGATAGTGAAAAAGAGAATGAAAATGAAGAATATATGTTACGGCGACCATACAAACCTGTACATTTTGATTTAAAGTTACCAAATCAACAAAGAATTATTCAACCAACTGTTGTAAGAAGAACTTATATGGATGAAAATAATTCTGATTTAATGAGCACCCAATCTGATCAACCACAGCAAGAGTTCATAACAATAGATGAAAATGGCAGAAAAGTGAGAAAAATTATTACAAAGAAGGTAACTCGTACTCAGAGACGTATTATTAGACGAAAATATATTGATGAAAATGGCGAAGAGCATGTGGAAGAAGTTGAACTGCCAGAAGGCCAAGAACCTGAGTATATAATAAACCATGGGAAGTCTTTAGATGAAGGAGCAATAATTATCCATTCACCAGATGAAACTGATACTGCTACTGAAGAAGAATTAGTAAGAGATAGCGAAGGTAATATAATAAAAAGGATTGTTAAAAAAGTTACACAAGTAACTAAAAGAACAAGAATCATTCGCAGAACAATTATTGATGAGGATGGCAACAGAAAAGTTGTAGAAGAAGAGGTTCCCATTGATAGCAGTCAAGTAATTGAATCTAATCAATACCAATCACTTCCTGTAAAAAGTTCCAATAGTCAATCAGTTTGGGAACTACTGGAAACTCCAAAAGTTGATCGAGTTATATCAATTCAAGTAGAAAGAGATTCCAATGGAGATGAACATATATTAAAATATAAGGAGTCTGTTTTATCACATGCTCCATTAAATATTATAAACATATTAAAAGAGTATGATGAAAGGAATGGTACTTCTAGAATTTTTGTAAAAACAAGTTGTATACAAAAAAAAGAGTTAATGCAACACTTGATTAAAGTTTATCCAAATGGTATTGAAGAAGAAGTGGACAATAAAATAGAAGTTTATCCAGAACAAAAAATTCAAATCGAAGAAACACAAGAGAAAATTCCTCTATACAGTTGTATTATTGATGAAAAGCCTGAATCTTTGACATCAAAGGAGATGAGTCAGACTGGTACTATTTCCAAAATCTTAAGATCTAAAGAAATCATAAAAGAATATTTACAGTATGAAACAAAAGTTGTTAACAACAGAAACGAAATAATATATGAAAATATTTTGATTCAAGTATCAGAAAACAATATAAAATCTGATAGGAATCTAATGTTGAAACATATTTCATCTTCTATAAATAATGGAATAGTTGAAAAAAATATTATCTGCTTAATTCCTATAAAAACAATGAACATTGTTTATATAAAAGGAATATATACAAAGGAAGGGAAAGAGTTAAATAATGAACAGCAAATAATTAAACGAGAAAATACAAACATTTTTAATGACAAATTAAACATCCTATTAAAAGGCCAATATGAAGGTAAAAAAGTGGTTATATCAACTAGTCCCGATCTTTATGAGAACAAAGAATCAAAACAAAATGTGACAACAAAAAATATAACAATTCAACCCAGAGGAGTCAAAAAAGTAATAGTTCTTTCTGATGGAACAAGAAAAGAGGAAAACGAGTTTGATCAATACGAAATAATAGAAAATAAAAAAAATAATTTCATTCCAACTCATAATATAAATTCAGAGTCTCAATCAAATAAAAGCTTAATTGAATTTAAAGACATTAAAAGAAAAACGGATGAAAAAAGTAAAACACAATCTAAACGAGCCAGACGACCTTCTGAAGAGACTCCTGAAGATGTCGATGATCCGATGAACGTGGTGGAGGAGTTTTCAGAGCCCGACAGTAGTCCTTACATTGACGACTCAGCTGAACCAACTGTGCAACACTATGGCCAGAGAAAACCTGAAGAGGAAAAAGTTTTCACCAGACCGCATTCGCAAGGTGAAAAATCTCCGGAATCGAAAAAGCATCCCAAAGATTCTCCTCACAAAGGTGCTGAGATTGATCAGCCAGTTTCAAGCCCTGTGGTAAAGAAAACAGTAGTGTTGAAAAAGAAAACTATCCGAAAGATCATTGTGCTCCCAGACGGTACCCGAAAAGAGGTGGAAGAAGAAGTACCTGCTGAGGATGATTCTGAAATGCCCAGCGACGATGCACACGTTCCATCAGTTTTAAGCCCTGTCGTAAAGAAAACTGTAGTGTTGAAGAAGAAAATTATCCGCAAGATTGTTGTGCTTCCTGATGGCACCCGAAAAGAGGTGGAAGAGGAAGTACCTGCTGAGGAGGAATCCGAAATGCCGTACAGTGATGTTCCTTACACTCGGTCGGAAGACGAGCATAGTAGCGTTTTCGGCAGTCAGACACAGAAAATGCCGACTCCTGTGGAAAGGGTGTATGTGACAAGAGTTTTGCGAAAACCCGACGGCAGTGAACACTTGATAGACGAATCTGAAACAGTGTTTCCGATGGAAATCACATCTGAGGATCTGCAGTCAGAAGTGGTGGAAAGCGAAGGCAAGGATGAAAGAGGTGTTTTCAGAGTGGTAAAGAAGCCTTTGCAGTTAACAAGAAAGAAAACCACCACTTGCTTGAGCGAAGTGTTGCCTAGCGGTGACGAGAGAGAGATAGAAAGGAGTGCGGAAGAATCACCAGAGTCTGAACAGGAGCCTACCAAATCCAGAAAGGTGGTCCGTTGTGAGAAGAAGCTGGCGAACGGAGAAACTGTTGTGGTCGAAGAAGCTCATTACATCAGTCCACTCACCTCATCCCTGAGTGTACCAGCCAAACCTGAAATCTCAGAAAGGACATTGAGAGGAAAACCCGCTCGAGTGGTGTGCAGAAAGACGGTGACCACCTATCATGTCAAAGTGTTTAGGAGCACAGTGCTTCGCAGCAACGGAAAAGCAGACACCTCCCCAGTAGAGGACTGTATCGAAGAGCCAATTGAGGCAGCTAGATTCACAATTGTCCGTAGAGCGGTGATAAGAAGTGACGGAAGCTCAGAGACCAGAGAGGAGCCTCGTTATGAATTGCCACAGGATGCCAAACCGACAGTTGAAGCAGTCACTGATAAGAATGGCAAAGTAACAAGAAGAGTTCGCAAAGTGCCTAAACCAGTTGTAACATATCGCAAAGTTTACAGAAAAATTATTCTTGCTCCCGACGGTACTGAAGCTGGCGTGGAAGAGAAAGTGGAAGAGAGTAAGCGTGCAAGACGACCTTCTGAAGAGACTCCTGAAGATGTCGATGATCCGATGAACGTGGTGGAGGAGTTTTCAGAGCCCGACAGTAGTCCTTACATTGACGACTCAGCTGAACCAACTGTGCAACACTATGGCCAGAGAAAACCTGAAGAGGAAAAAGTTTTCACCAGACCGCATTCGCAAGGTGAAAAATCTCCGGAATCGAAAAAGCATCCCAAAGATTCTCCTCACAAAGGTGCTGAGATTGATCAGCCAGTTTCAAGCCCTGTGGTAAAGAAAACAGTAGTGTTGAAAAAGAAAACTATCCGAAAGATCATTGTGCTCCCAGACGGTACCCGAAAAGAGGTGGAAGAAGAAGTACCTGCTGAGGATGATTCTGAAATGCCCAGCGACGATGCACACGTTCCATCAGTTTTAAGCCCTGTCGTAAAGAAAACTGTAGTGTTGAAGAAGAAAATTATCCGCAAGATTGTTGTGCTTCCTGATGGCACCCGAAAAGAGGTGGAAGAGGAAGTACCTGCTGAGGAGGAATCCGAAATGCCGTACAGTGATGTTCCTTACACTCGGTCGGAAGACGAGCATAGTAGCGTTTTCGGCAGTCAGACACAGAAAATGCCGACTCCTGTGGAAAGGGTGTATGTGACAAGAGTTTTGCGAAAACCCGACGGCAGTGAACACTTGATAGACGAATCTGAAACAGTGTTTCCGATGGAAATCACATCTGAGGATCTGCAGTCAGAAGTGGTGGAAAGCGAAGGCAAGGATGAAAGAGGTGTTTTCAGAGTGGTAAAGAAGCCTTTGCAGTTAACAAGAAAGAAAACCACCACTTGCTTGAGCGAAGTGTTGCCTAGCGGTGACGAGAGAGAGATAGAAAGGAGTGCGGAAGAATCACCAGAGTCTGAACAGGAGCCTACCAAATCCAGAAAGGTGGTCCGTTGTGAGAAGAAGCTGGCGAACGGAGAAACTGTTGTGGTCGAAGAAGCTCATTACATCAGTCCACTCACCTCATCCCTGAGTGTACCAGCCAAACCTGAAATCTCAGAAAGGACATTGAGAGGAAAACCCGCTCGAGTGGTGTGCAGAAAGACGGTGACCACCTATCATGTCAAAGTGTTTAGGAGCACAGTGCTTCGCAGCAACGGAAAAGCAGACACCTCCCCAGTAGAGGACTGTATCGAAGAGCCAATTGAGGCAGCTAGATTCACAATTGTCCGTAGAACGGTGATAAGAAGTGACGGAAGCTCAGAGACCAGAGAGGAGCCTCGTTATGAATTGCCACAGGATGCCAAACCGACAGTTGAAGCAGTCACTGATAAGAATGGCAAAGTAACAAGAAGAGTTCGCAAAGTGCCTAAACCAGTTGTAACATATCGCAAAGTTTACAGAAAAATTATTCTTGCTCCCGACGGTACTGAAGCTGGCGTGGAAGAGAAAGTGGAAGAGAGTAAGCGTGCAAGACGACCTTCTGAAGAGACTCCTGAAGATGTCGATGATCCGATGAACGTGGTGGAGGAGTTTTCAGAGCCCGACAGTAGTCCTTACATTGACGACTCAGCTGAACCAACTGTGCAACACTATGGCCAGAGAAAACCTGAAGAGGAAAAAGTTTTCACCAGACCGCATTCGCAAGGTGAAAAATCTCCGGAATCGAAAAAGCATCCCAAAGATTCTCCTCACAAAGGTGCTGAGATTGATCAGCCAGTTTCAAGCCCTGTGGTAAAGAAAACAGTAGTGTTGAAAAAGAAAACTATCCGAAAGATCATTGTGCTCCCAGACGGTACCCGAAAAGAGGTGGAAGAAGAAGTACCTGCTGAGGATGATTCTGAAATGCCCAGCGACGATGCACACGTTCCATCAGTTTTAAGCCCTGTCGTAAAGAAAACTGTAGTGTTGAAGAAGAAAATTATCCGCAAGATTGTTGTGCTTCCTGATGGCACCCGAAAAGAGGTGGAAGAGGAAGTACCTGCTGAGGAGGAATCCGAAATGCCGTACAGTGATGTTCCTTACACTCGGTCGGAAGACGAGCATAGTAGCGTTTTCGGCAGTCAGACACAGAAAATGCCGACTCCTGTGGAAAGGGTGTATGTGACAAGAGTTTTGCGAAAACCCGACGGCAGTGAACACTTGATAGACGAATCTGAAACAGTGTTTCCGATGGAAATCACATCTGAGGATCTGCAGTCAGAAGTGGTGGAAAGCGAAGGCAAGGATGAAAGAGGTGTTTTCAGAGTGGTAAAGAAGCCTTTGCAGTTAACAAGAAAGAAAACCACCACTTGCTTGAGCGAAGTGTTGCCTAGCGGTGACGAGAGAGAGATAGAAAGGAGTGCGGAAGAATCACCAGAGTCTGAACAGGAGCCTACCAAATCCAGAAAGGTGGTCCGTTGTGAGAAGAAGCTGGCGAACGGAGAAACTGTTGTGGTCGAAGAAGCTCATTACATCAGTCCACTCACCTCATCCCTGAGTGTACCAGCCAAACCTGAAATCTCAGAAAGGACATTGAGAGGAAAACCCGCTCGAGTGGTGTGCAGAAAGACGGTGACCACCTATCATGTCAAAGTGTTTAGGAGCACAGTGCTTCGCAGCAACGGAAAAGCAGACACCTCCCCAGTAGAGGACTGTATCGAAGAGCCAATTGAGGCAGCTAGATTCACAATTGTCCGTAGAACGGTGATAAGAAGTGACGGAAGCTCAGAGACCAGAGAGGAGCCTCGTTATGAATTGCCACAGGATGCCAAACCGACAGTTGAAGCAGTCACTGATAAGAATGGCAAAGTAACAAGAAGAGTTCGCAAAGTGCCTAAACCAGTTGTAACATATCGCAAAGTTTACAGAAAAATTATTCTTGCTCCCGACGGTACTGAAGCTGGCGTGGAAGAGAAAGTGGAAGAGAGTAAGCGTGCAAGACGACCTTCTGAAGAGACTCCTGAAGATGTCGATGATCCGATGAACGTGGTGGAGGAGTTTTCAGAGCCCGACAGTAGTCCTTACATTGACGACTCAGCTGAACCAACTGTGCAACACTATGGCCAGAGAAAACCTGAAGAGGAAAAAGTTTTCACCAGACCGCATTCGCAAGGTGAAAAATCTCCGGAATCGAAAAAGCATCCCAAAGATTCTCCTCACAAAGGTGCTGAGATTGATCAGCCAGTTTCAAGCCCTGTGGTAAAGAAAACAGTAGTGTTGAAAAAGAAAACTATCCGAAAGATCATTGTGCTCCCAGACGGTACCCGAAAAGAGGTGGAAGAAGAAGTACCTGCTGAGGATGATTCTGAAATGCCCAGCGACGATGCACACGTTCCATCAGTTTTAAGCCCTGTCGTAAAGAAAACTGTAGTGTTGAAGAAGAAAATTATCCGCAAGATTGTTGTGCTTCCTGATGGCACCCGAAAAGAGGTGGAAGAGGAAGTACCTGCTGAGGAGGAATCCGAAATGCCGTACAGTGATGTTCCTTACACTCGGTCGGAAGACGAGCATAGTAGCGTTTTCGGCAGTCAGACACAGAAAATGCCGACTCCTGTGGAAAGGGTGTATGTGACAAGAGTTTTGCGAAAACCCGACGGCAGTGAACACTTGATAGACGAATCTGAAACAGTGTTTCCGATGGAAATCACATCTGAGGATCTGCAGTCAGAAGTGGTGGAAAGCGAAGGCAAGGATGAAAGAGGTGTTTTCAGAGTGGTAAAGAAGCCTTTGCAGTTAACAAGAAAGAAAACCACCACTTGCTTGAGCGAAGTGTTGCCTAGCGGTGACGAGAGAGAGATAGAAAGGAGTGCGGAAGAATCACCAGAGTCTGAACAGGAGCCTACCAAATCCAGAAAGGTGGTCCGTTGTGAGAAGAAGCTGGCGAACGGAGAAACTGTTGTGGTCGAAGAAGCTCATTACATCAGTCCACTCACCTCATCCCTGAGTGTACCAGCCAAACCTGAAATCTCAGAAAGGACATTGAGAGGAAAACCCGCTCGAGTGGTGTGCAGAAAGACGGTGACCACCTATCATGTCAAAGTGTTTAGGAGCACAGTGCTTCGCAGCAACGGAAAAGCAGACACCTCCCCAGTAGAGGACTGTATCGAAGAGCCAATTGAGGCAGCTAGATTCACAATTGTCCGTAGAACGGTGATAAGAAGTGACGGAAGCTCAGAGACCAGAGAGGAGCCTCGTTATGAATTGCCACAGGATGCCAAACCGACAGTTGAAGCAGTCACTGATAAGAATGGCAAAGTAACAAGAAGAGTTCGCAAAGTGCCTAAACCAGTTGTAACATATCGCAAAGTTTACAGAAAAATTATTCTTGCTCCCGACGGTACTGAAGCTGGCGTGGAAGAGAAAGTGGAAGAGAGTAAGCGTGCAAGACGACCTTCTGAAGAGACTCCTGAAGATGTCGATGATCCGATGAACGTGGTGGAGGAGTTTTCAGAGCCCGACAGTAGTCCTTACATTGACGACTCAGCTGAACCAACTGTGCAACACTATGGCCAGAGAAAACCTGAAGAGGAAAAAGTTTTCACCAGACCGCATTCGCAAGGTGAAAAATCTCCGGAATCGAAAAAGCATCCCAAAGATTCTCCTCACAAAGGTGCTGAGATTGATCAGCCAGTTTCAAGCCCTGTGGTAAAGAAAACAGTAGTGTTGAAAAAGAAAACTATCCGAAAGATCATTGTGCTCCCAGACGGTACCCGAAAAGAGGTGGAAGAAGAAGTACCTGCTGAGGATGATTCTGAAATGCCCAGCGACGATGCACACGTTCCATCAGTTTTAAGCCCTGTCGTAAAGAAAACTGTAGTGTTGAAGAAGAAAATTATCCGCAAGATTGTTGTGCTTCCTGATGGCACCCGAAAAGAGGTGGAAGAGGAAGTACCTGCTGAGGAGGAATCCGAAATGCCGTACAGTGATGTTCCTTACACTCGGTCGGAAGACGAGCATAGTAGCGTTTTCGGCAGTCAGACACAGAAAATGCCGACTCCTGTGGAAAGGGTGTATGTGACAAGAGTTTTGCGAAAACCCGACGGCAGTGAACACTTGATAGACGAATCTGAAACAGTGTTTCCGATGGAAATCACATCTGAGGATCTGCAGTCAGAAGTGGTGGAAAGCGAAGGCAAGGATGAAAGAGGTGTTTTCAGAGTGGTAAAGAAGCCTTTGCAGTTAACAAGAAAGAAAACCACCACTTGCTTGAGCGAAGTGTTGCCTAGCGGTGACGAGAGAGAGATAGAAAGGAGTGCGGAAGAATCACCAGAGTCTGAACAGGAGCCTACCAAATCCAGAAAGGTGGTCCGTTGTGAGAAGAAGCTGGCGAACGGAGAAACTGTTGTGGTCGAAGAAGCTCATTACATCAGTCCACTCACCTCATCCCTGAGTGTACCAGCCAAACCTGAAATCTCAGAAAGGACATTGAGAGGAAAACCCGCTCGAGTGGTGTGCAGAAAGACGGTGACCACCTATCATGTCAAAGTGTTTAGGAGCACAGTGCTTCGCAGCAACGGAAAAGCAGACACCTCCCCAGTAGAGGACTGTATCGAAGAGCCAATTGAGGCAGCTAGATTCACAATTGTCCGTAGAACGGTGATAAGAAGTGACGGAAGCTCAGAGACCAGAGAGGAGCCTCGTTATGAATTGCCACAGGATGCCAAACCGACAGTTGAAGCAGTCACTGATAAGAATGGCAAAGTAACAAGAAGAGTTCGCAAAGTGCCTAAACCAGTTGTAACATATCGCAAAGTTTACAGAAAAATTATTCTTGCTCCCGACGGTACTGAAGCTGGCGTGGAAGAGAAAGTGGAAGAGAGTAAGCGTGCAAGACGACCTTCTGAAGAGACTCCTGAAGATGTCGATGATCCGATGAACGTGGTGGAGGAGTTTTCAGAGCCCGACAGTAGTCCTTACATTGACGACTCAGCTGAACCAACTGTGCAACACTATGGCCAGAGAAAACCTGAAGAGGAAAAAGTTTTCACCAGACCGCATTCGCAAGGTGAAAAATCTCCGGAATCGAAAAAGCATCCCAAAGATTCTCCTCACAAAGGTGCTGAGATTGATCAGCCAGTTTCAAGCCCTGTGGTAAAGAAAACAGTAGTGTTGAAAAAGAAAACTATCCGAAAGATCATTGTGCTCCCAGACGGTACCCGAAAAGAGGTGGAAGAAGAAGTACCTGCTGAGGATGATTCTGAAATGCCCAGCGACGATGCACACGTTCCATCAGTTTTAAGCCCTGTCGTAAAGAAAACTGTAGTGTTGAAGAAGAAAATTATCCGCAAGATTGTTGTGCTTCCTGATGGCACCCGAAAAGAGGTGGAAGAGGAAGTACCTGCTGAGGAGGAATCCGAAATGCCGTACAGTGATGTTCCTTACACTCGGTCGGAAGACGAGCATAGTAGCGTTTTCGGCAGTCAGACACAGAAAATGCCGACTCCTGTGGAAAGGGTGTATGTGACAAGAGTTTTGCGAAAACCCGACGGCAGTGAACACTTGATAGACGAATCTGAAACAGTGTTTCCGATGGAAATCACATCTGAGGATCTGCAGTCAGAAGTGGTGGAAAGCGAAGGCAAGGATGAAAGAGGTGTTTTCAGAGTGGTAAAGAAGCCTTTGCAGTTAACAAGAAAGAAAACCACCACTTGCTTGAGCGAAGTGTTGCCTAGCGGTGACGAGAGAGAGATAGAAAGGAGTGCGGAAGAATCACCAGAGTCTGAACAGGAGCCTACCAAATCCAGAAAGGTGGTCCGTTGTGAGAAGAAGCTGGCGAACGGAGAAACTGTTGTGGTCGAAGAAGCTCATTACATCAGTCCACTCACCTCATCCCTGAGTGTACCAGCCAAACCTGAAATCTCAGAAAGGACATTGAGAGGAAAACCCGCTCGAGTGGTGTGCAGAAAGACGGTGACCACCTATCATGTCAAAGTGTTTAGGAGCACAGTGCTTCGCAGCAACGGAAAAGCAGACACCTCCCCAGTAGAGGACTGTATCGAAGAGCCAATTGAGGCAGCTAGATTCACAATTGTCCGTAGAACGGTGATAAGAAGTGACGGAAGCTCAGAGACCAGAGAGGAGCCTCGTTATGAATTGCCACAGGATGCCAAACCGACAGTTGAAGCAGTCACTGATAAGAATGGCAAAGTAACAAGAAGAGTTCGCAAAGTGCCTAAACCAGTTGTAACATATCGCAAAGTTTACAGAAAAATTATTCTTGCTCCCGACGGTACTGAAGCTGGCGTGGAAGAGAAAGTGGAAGAGAGTAAGCGTGCAAGACGACCTTCTGAAGAGACTCCTGAAGATGTCGATGATCCGATGAACGTGGTGGAGGAGTTTTCAGAGCCCGACAGTAGTCCTTACATTGACGACTCAGCTGAACCAACTGTGCAACACTATGGCCAGAGAAAACCTGAAGAGGAAAAAGTTTTCACCAGACCGCATTCGCAAGGTGAAAAATCTCCGGAATCGAAAAAGCATCCCAAAGATTCTCCTCACAAAGGTGCTGAGATTGATCAGCCAGTTTCAAGCCCTGTGGTAAAGAAAACAGTAGTGTTGAAAAAGAAAACTATCCGAAAGATCATTGTGCTCCCAGACGGTACCCGAAAAGAGGTGGAAGAAGAAGTACCTGCTGAGGATGATTCTGAAATGCCCAGCGACGATGCACACGTTCCATCAGTTTTAAGCCCTGTCGTAAAGAAAACTGTAGTGTTGAAGAAGAAAATTATCCGCAAGATTGTTGTGCTTCCTGATGGCACCCGAAAAGAGGTGGAAGAGGAAGTACCTGCTGAGGAGGAATCCGAAATGCCGTACAGTGATGTTCCTTACACTCGGTCGGAAGACGAGCATAGTAGCGTTTTCGGCAGTCAGACACAGAAAATGCCGACTCCTGTGGAAAGGGTGTATGTGACAAGAGTTTTGCGAAAACCCGACGGCAGTGAACACTTGATAGACGAATCTGAAACAGTGTTTCCGATGGAAATCACATCTGAGGATCTGCAGTCAGAAGTGGTGGAAAGCGAAGGCAAGGATGAAAGAGGTGTTTTCAGAGTGGTAAAGAAGCCTTTGCAGTTAACAAGAAAGAAAACCACCACTTGCTTGAGCGAAGTGTTGCCTAGCGGTGACGAGAGAGAGATAGAAAGGAGTGCGGAAGAATCACCAGAGTCTGAACAGGAGCCTACCAAATCCAGAAAGGTGGTCCGTTGTGAGAAGAAGCTGGCGAACGGAGAAACTGTTGTGGTCGAAGAAGCTCATTACATCAGTCCACTCACCTCATCCCTGAGTGTACCAGCCAAACCTGAAATCTCAGAAAGGACATTGAGAGGAAAACCCGCTCGAGTGGTGTGCAGAAAGACGGTGACCACCTATCATGTCAAAGTGTTTAGGAGCACAGTGCTTCGCAGCAACGGAAAAGCAGACACCTCCCCAGTAGAGGACTGTATCGAAGAGCCAATTGAGGCAGCTAGATTCACAATTGTCCGTAGAACGGTGATAAGAAGTGACGGAAGCTCAGAGACCAGAGAGGAGCCTCGTTATGAATTGCCACAGGATGCCAAACCGACAGTTGAAGCAGTCACTGATAAGAATGGCAAAGTAACAAGAAGAGTTCGCAAAGTGCCTAAACCAGTTGTAACATATCGCAAAGTTTACAGAAAAATTATTCTTGCTCCCGACGGTACTGAAGCTGGCGTGGAAGAGAAAGTGGAAGAGAGTAAGCGTGCAAGACGACCTTCTGAAGAGACTCCTGAAGATGTCGATGATCCGATGAACGTGGTGGAGGAGTTTTCAGAGCCCGACAGTAGTCCTTACATTGACGACTCAGCTGAACCAACTGTGCAACACTATGGCCAGAGAAAACCTGAAGAGGAAAAAGTTTTCACCAGACCGCATTCGCAAGGTGAAAAATCTCCGGAATCGAAAAAGCATCCCAAAGATTCTCCTCACAAAGGTGCTGAGATTGATCAGCCAGTTTCAAGCCCTGTGGTAAAGAAAACAGTAGTGTTGAAAAAGAAAACTATCCGAAAGATCATTGTGCTCCCAGACGGTACCCGAAAAGAGGTGGAAGAAGAAGTACCTGCTGAGGATGATTCTGAAATGCCCAGCGACGATGCACACGTTCCATCAGTTTTAAGCCCTGTCGTAAAGAAAACTGTAGTGTTGAAGAAGAAAATTATCCGCAAGATTGTTGTGCTTCCTGATGGCACCCGAAAAGAGGTGGAAGAGGAAGTACCTGCTGAGGAGGAATCCGAAATGCCGTACAGTGATGTTCCTTACACTCGGTCGGAAGACGAGCATAGTAGCGTTTTCGGCAGTCAGACACAGAAAATGCCGACTCCTGTGGAAAGGGTGTATGTGACAAGAGTTTTGCGAAAACCCGACGGCAGTGAACACTTGATAGACGAATCTGAAACAGTGTTTCCGATGGAAATCACATCTGAGGATCTGCAGTCAGAAGTGGTGGAAAGCGAAGGCAAGGATGAAAGAGGTGTTTTCAGAGTGGTAAAGAAGCCTTTGCAGTTAACAAGAAAGAAAACCACCACTTGCTTGAGCGAAGTGTTGCCTAGCGGTGACGAGAGAGAGATAGAAAGGAGTGCGGAAGAATCACCAGAGTCTGAACAGGAGCCTACCAAATCCAGAAAGGTGGTCCGTTGTGAGAAGAAGCTGGCGAACGGAGAAACTGTTGTGGTCGAAGAAGCTCATTACATCAGTCCACTCACCTCATCCCTGAGTGTACCAGCCAAACCTGAAATCTCAGAAAGGACATTGAGAGGAAAACCCGCTCGAGTGGTGTGCAGAAAGACGGTGACCACCTATCATGTCAAAGTGTTTAGGAGCACAGTGCTTCGCAGCAACGGAAAAGCAGACACCTCCCCAGTAGAGGACTGTATCGAAGAGCCAATTGAGGCAGCTAGATTCACAATTGTCCGTAGAACGGTGATAAGAAGTGACGGAAGCTCAGAGACCAGAGAGGAGCCTCGTTATGAATTGCCACAGGATGCCAAACCGACAGTTGAAGCAGTCACTGATAAGAATGGCAAAGTAACAAGAAGAGTTCGCAAAGTGCCTAAACCAGTTGTAACATATCGCAAAGTTTACAGAAAAATTATTCTTGCTCCCGACGGTACTGAAGCTGGCGTGGAAGAGAAAGTGGAAGAGAGTAAGCGTGCAAGACGACCTTCTGAAGAGACTCCTGAAGATGTCGATGATCCGATGAACGTGGTGGAGGAGTTTTCAGAGCCCGACAGTAGTCCTTACATTGACGACTCAGCTGAACCAACTGTGCAACACTATGGCCAGAGAAAACCTGAAGAGGAAAAAGTTTTCACCAGACCGCATTCGCAAGGTGAAAAATCTCCGGAATCGAAAAAGCATCCCAAAGATTCTCCTCACAAAGGTGCTGAGATTGATCAGCCAGTTTCAAGCCCTGTGGTAAAGAAAACAGTAGTGTTGAAAAAGAAAACTATCCGAAAGATCATTGTGCTCCCAGACGGTACCCGAAAAGAGGTGGAAGAAGAAGTACCTGCTGAGGATGATTCTGAAATGCCCAGCGACGATGCACACGTTCCATCAGTTTTAAGCCCTGTCGTAAAGAAAACTGTAGTGTTGAAGAAGAAAATTATCCGCAAGATTGTTGTGCTTCCTGATGGCACCCGAAAAGAGGTGGAAGAGGAAGTACCTGCTGAGGAGGAATCCGAAATGCCGTACAGTGATGTTCCTTACACTCGGTCGGAAGACGAGCATAGTAGCGTTTTCGGCAGTCAGACACAGAAAATGCCGACTCCTGTGGAAAGGGTGTATGTGACAAGAGTTTTGCGAAAACCCGACGGCAGTGAACACTTGATAGACGAATCTGAAACAGTGTTTCCGATGGAAATCACATCTGAGGATCTGCAGTCAGAAGTGGTGGAAAGCGAAGGCAAGGATGAAAGAGGTGTTTTCAGAGTGGTAAAGAAGCCTTTGCAGTTAACAAGAAAGAAAACCACCACTTGCTTGAGCGAAGTGTTGCCTAGCGGTGACGAGAGAGAGATAGAAAGGAGTGCGGAAGAATCACCAGAGTCTGAACAGGAGCCTACCAAATCCAGAAAGGTGGTCCGTTGTGAGAAGAAGCTGGCGAACGGAGAAACTGTTGTGGTCGAAGAAGCTCATTACATCAGTCCACTCACCTCATCCCTGAGTGTACCAGCCAAACCTGAAATCTCAGAAAGGACATTGAGAGGAAAACCCGCTCGAGTGGTGTGCAGAAAGACGGTGACCACCTATCATGTCAAAGTGTTTAGGAGCACAGTGCTTCGCAGCAACGGAAAAGCAGACACCTCCCCAGTAGAGGACTGTATCGAAGAGCCAATTGAGGCAGCTAGATTCACAATTGTCCGTAGAACGGTGATAAGAAGTGACGGAAGCTCAGAGACCAGAGAGGAGCCTCGTTATGAATTGCCACAGGATGCCAAACCGACAGTTGAAGCAGTCACTGATAAGAATGGCAAAGTAACAAGAAGAGTTCGCAAAGTGCCTAAACCAGTTGTAACATATCGCAAAGTTTACAGAAAAATTATTCTTGCTCCCGACGGTACTGAAGCTGGCGTGGAAGAGAAAGTGGAAGAGAGTAAGCGTGCAAGACGACCTTCTGAAGAGACTCCTGAAGATGTCGATGATCCGATGAACGTGGTGGAGGAGTTTTCAGAGCCCGACAGTAGTCCTTACATTGACGACTCAGCTGAACCAACTGTGCAACACTATGGCCAGAGAAAACCTGAAGAGGAAAAAGTTTTCACCAGACCGCATTCGCAAGGTGAAAAATCTCCGGAATCGAAAAAGCATCCCAAAGATTCTCCTCACAAAGGTGCTGAGATTGATCAGCCAGTTTCAAGCCCTGTGGTAAAGAAAGCAGTAGTGTTGAAAAAGAAAACTATCCGAAAGTTCATTGTGCTCCCAGACGGTACCCGAAAAGAGGTGGAAGAAGAAGTACCTGCTGAGGATGTTTCTGAAATGCCTTATGATAATGTGTTTACTTCTTTCTCAGATGTTTTGTTGCCATCAAATATGCGCTTATCAGATCAGTTGCTAGTATTGTATCCAGATGGTTGTTATTATGATGCTATTTCAAAATTTACCTCAGATTTTACTGGGGATATTAAAGATTTATTTTTAACCATTTGTAATGAGTCTCTTTCTAAATGTTACTATATACCAGTAGAACGTCGTATTATGAAAAAGTTTTTATTACAATCTTCGATTTCACCTGAACAATTATTATTTGAGGAAGTTTCAGTACTTCCTTTAGGTGTTGTTGATGGTAAGCCTTCTCATACAATTTCTGAACACTTTACTGAATTGCAAAAAGTTAAGGTCAATCCTGATAACTCTGAGGATATTGTGGAAGCTTTACGGCAGCCAGGTTTTGAAGTTTTTGATGAAAGTCAGGATGATCCTCAATATTTTACTTTAAATGTTTCTTGTGATTCTACCGAAACAAAATCTTTAGTAAAGAAACCCCTTGTGATTACCCCACTATATTTGTCTCGTTTCGAATATAAAGTTGAAGAACCTGTTGATTTGAGTTCATCTTTTGTAGTGAGAAACAAAACTTGTTCTATTTCAAAAAGAGTTGATAACTGTACATTCTATCAAAATGGCTCTGATCCTATTGTTATATCTGTTATTTCTGTCCCATATGAAATTAATCAAAGCGATTTGTGTCATCCTAGTAATGATTCCAATGTTCAATCTGACAGTTTTAAGATCAATAATTATTCTATTATTCTTAAAAAGTTGGAAAGAAATCAATCTGGAGTATTATGTAAGGTTGTCATTGAACGTCCTGTTTATGTTGTTACACAAAGAACAGTTTATCATAAAATTGTTTTAACACCAAAACGTGATGTTAAAGAAGTTGTAGAAAATCAAGAATTAATGCCAATTGAAATACCTGAATCAGTTTTGGCTCCTTGCTTATTAGATAGGATTGTGAATCCTCAAAACGAATCCCTTCCTCACAGCAGTGATGCAGAAATTGTAGAGCGAATATTAACTGAACGCTTTGTTCGCCAAGAAGATGGAAAAGAAAAGTTGATTGATATGTTTGAATTGATTAATCCAATTGATGAAAAAGCAATCATTAAACAAGATAAAATATCTGGTAAAAAAATATGCCTTACTGAACAGGTAAAGGTTACACGAAGAATGGTTAAAGATGGAATTAATGAGAAAGAAGTTGAAAAATTACTTGAAAAAGCAAATGATCCTTTTGAAAATGATCCAGATGTGTATACAGACTTAACATATTTTGTCAAAGTTGGTGATAAGCCCAGAGTAATTGAAGTGTTGCAAAGCAAATTTCCTTATGTAATGATCGTAAAGAAAGACTTCAAGAATGTTGTTGACCAAAAGAAAAAGTCAGAGAAAAAGCTTATACATACTTTAATAACAAAAAAAACATTTACTCGCAAAACAATTGATTCGCCTAAAAAAGGCGCGAAGGCATTAGAAGAAGATACTTTTGAGATACCAATAGAATTCAGTCAAAAAGCTCCTGTGCTATCCAATAAAGAAATTAAGGATGGTAAAGGCACCCTAATCAAGCGTATAGTTTACAAACCTAAGAGTGTGATAACAAAGAGAATGATTTATAAAAAGTTGATTTACACTCCTCAAGAAGTAAATGATTTACCTTCTTTTGTTAATACTAATGATTCTAAATTATTGGAAAATAAAAACATTTCTAAATCTAACTCACCCACATCTAAACGAAATTTGCCTACTTCTAAGTTAAGCTTGCCTAGTAAAGATAAACCTGAATCAAGTCCTAAAAAAATCCCTAGTTCTGTTACAAAAAAAGCTAATAAACAGGTCAAACCATCAGATGTATCTGAAAAAGATAAATCTAATTCTTCTGTTGATCCGAAAGCAAAGAAAGTTGAGCCTATTGATGATGAGGTATTAGAACCTATATCAGTTACTGGTGAAGAGCAGTCACCTATTATTTTAGATGACTTTGGAGATATAACTCAAGTAGTTCAACCACTTGATTCCTATGACTTTGAAGATTCACCTCATAGGCCTAAGCTTTATTCTTTGACAGATGATGATAGGTCAAAGTTAGTTAATCAACTCTTCAGAGCTCCAAGTGCTTTGGAAGATGATGATTTAGAAGAAATAAGAATAAAACGTTTGCCAAAAAAGGTTAAAGATTCTGCTAAAATTTTACCATATGACCAAAGAAAGAAAGAGTTACTGGATCCTTTAAGAAATAAATCAACTGAATTGCTTTTAAACTTTGGAAAACAAAGAAACGAAATAAATGAAATATGGTGTTATATTGTTTCAGATTTTTCTGTTGATCTTTCATATGAAGAGTTTATAATTTGGCTTAGTTTTGTTGAAAATGAAGTTTCTTCATTAAAGTTGATTTCTGCCAAATATGAATCACTTGTTAAAATTAAGGAATACAAAGAGGTGAATGAGATAATTGATTTTTATTTAAAATAGTTATTGTATTTTTTTCAAAATGCTTTTATTACTACTACTATTACTGCTGTTGCTATTACTACTACTACTACTACTACTACTACTACTACTACTACTACTACTACTACTACTACTACTACTACTACTACTACTACTACTACTACTACTACTACTACTACTACTACTACTACTCCTACTACTACTACTACTACTACTACTACTACTACTACTACTACTACTACTACTACTACTGTTGCTGTTACTATTACTACTACACTACTACTACTACTACTACTACTACTACTACTACTACTACTACTACTACTACTACTACTACTACTACTACTACTGTTGCTGTTACTATTACTACTACTACTACTACTACTACTACTACTACTACTACTACTACTACTACTACTACTACTACTACTACTACTACTACTACTACTACTATTACTGCTACTACTGCTACTACTTATAATAGTAATAATAATAATAATAAAAATAATAATAATAACAATAATAGAAACAATAACAATAGCAATAGTAGTAGTGATAATCACAATAATAATTTTTAAAAAAATTTAAAATTTTAGTTTATGCTAAGGTAAATCCATTTTCTTGATTAGGAATTTCATAAAGAGCTAGTTAAATATAAACCAGTCATTGCAAAGATTGAAAAAGTAAGACCTGCACTTCTTGAGAAACTATCTAATGATGCAGATAGGGATCAGTTATCTAAAGAACTACTTGAAATTACTACTCGGTTCAAAAAAGTTTATCCTTTGTCAGAAGAATGTCTTAAAGAAATTTCTGATATTACTCCATTATCAAAAGAGCATGAGGATTGTTTCTTACCTGTCAGTACTGTAATAAATGAAATTGAAGAAGACTTGAAATATAGACCTAGAATAGGGGTGGATTTAACCAAGATAAATGATGAAGTAGCTAGAATAAAGGTGAGGTGTTTGTTTTAGAATTTCCTATTTAAGATGTTTCTTTTTTATTATTATTATTCACTTTTTTCTTTTGTAATTTATTTTATTTACATTTGCTGTTTTGTTTTTATTTGAATGTTTTTTGTTTTTTTTAGGGGGGGGGGGGCATATTTCATTTATTTTCTCAATAATATTTTAGTTTATTTACTTTTTGGTCATCTTTTAGTTCATTTATTTTCTGGTCTGTTTTTTTTTATTACTTTTCAGGTTTGATTTTTTTAAACTTAGTTTTTGATCCGTTTTTTTTTTTTTTTATCTTTCTTTAATTGTTACTTACTATTTTATCTCTTTAATAGACTGTAAAAGAGAAACTTGATAAAAGCAAACCATTAGTTCGTAAACTGAAAAATTCTTATTTCAATTTGCATAAATATTCTACAACAAAAGTGGAGAAGAAAGAAATTGAGGAAGAAGCTTTAACTGCAATTGAAAAAAATGATGAGTTGCAGCATTCCCTTGATCAATATTTAGAAGAACTTGATGTTCATAAAAAACAAACGCAAAAGTTTTTTGAAAACTTTGATTGTATCAGAAGTTGGGTGCCTAACATAAAACATAAAATACGAGCTATTGAACCTGTTTCGAAAACACGCAAAGATTTAAAGGACCAGCTTAAACAACTGGAGGTAGTCATTTAAATATTGTTATTTTTTTAGTTAGTTTTACATATTTAAAAAGTATTTATTATTACTATTGACAATTTTTTTTTTTCATGAAGGCAATGAAGAGCGAAATTGAAGAAAAAAGACCAATTATATTTTCTGTAGATGAAGCTGGTCAATGGCTTTTAAAACATACAAGACCTTCTGACAAAACTAGAAAAGAAGATTTAACTGTTAATGAAATTGAAGACAAAATGTTAGAAGTTTCAAAAATAGTCGGCCAGCTTAATGAAGAGATTAGCAGTCGACGTCACAGTATAAATGCAATGCTTTCTAAAGTGGAAACTTTTGAAGAGTCCATAGCAGATTTTGATAAGTGGTTGATTTCTGCAGAGAAATCAATATCATCTCAAAAACCAGTATCTGTTAATCTTGATGAACTGAAAGATCAAGTATTAAAACATGAGGTAAAAAAAATTTTTTAAATTGTGTTTTGTTCTGTTAATATAAATTAAAAGTAAAAGAAAAAAATAGAAAAATAATTTTATAGCTTTGTGAAACTTTTTTTATATTGTATTAATTTAGGCTATACATGAAGATATATTGCAACATGAATCACTCATCTCTTCATTGAGCCATGCTGGTCAGCTTCTTACTGATGACTTGTCTAAAAAAGATGCTGTAAGTTCAAGTGTAAAACCATTGACTGATCGTTATAACAAGTTGTGTATTATGTCAAATGAGCGTCAAGAATTACTTAGAAAGGTGTTGCCTCTTTTAAGAGGTTATCTTAATCTCAACAAAGATGTAGAGGAAGCCATTGCACAAGCTGAACCAGTTTTAAAATCAATTCAACCTGTTGGTATTGAGCTTGAAAAAGCAATTCAAACTGCACATGATATAAAAGTTTGTTTATTTAACTTTTGTTGTTTTTACTGGATTTTACTAAAATATATATATATTTTAGTATATGTGTGTGTGCGTGTGTATATATATATATATGCGTGTGAGTGTGTGTATATATATATATATATATATATATATATATATATATATATATATATATATATATATATATATATATATATAATTTACTTTTCAATTAAAGTTTAAAAGTTATTTTTTTATTTTAGCATGCGATTGACGTGCTGGATCAAAAGGAACCTTCTGTTGTTCATCTAATAGAAGATATTCAATTTGTTGAGGAATGTATGCCAGCCAAGCAAGTTGCACCACTTAAGAAAATAGCTATGGCAAATGCTTCTAAATTTAATGACTTAAGAGCAAAACTAAAAGAAAGAGACCATTTATTGAATCAAGAAACAGCAGACTCTGAAAGGTTTATTGAATTGACATCATTGTTAGGAGTCAAAACAAAAAAAGCTGAATCAATGCTTAAAGATATTAAAGTTCTTGGTAAAAATATTGACACTTTAGAAAATGCTCTTGATAAAGTGAAGGAAATTTTTATTATAATTGAAGAAATCTATGAGATTATCCCAGAGGTAGAGAAAATGACAGTTCTACTTACTACTTATTGCAAAAATGATTCAAAATCATTAAAAGTGATTGATTCAAAAATATCAGAGTTAAAAACAACAAAGAAAAATGTTGCTACTCTATTGAAAACAGCCAAAGATGAAGAGAGTGCATTTTTAAAGCTTCATCAGAACAATAAAGAGCTTGAAGACCATCTTCAAGATATTTCCCTATGGCTTCCAAGTATTGAAGCAGAGGTTGTAAAAACAACACCTTTATCTGCTCTCTGGACTATACTTAAAAAACAGCATGATGAGAATGGGGTAAGACTGTTAAACCTTTTTTGAATAATTAGTTTTTAGATTTTTTTTTGTTTTTTTTTTTTTGTTTTTGAATTTTATAGTATAAATTTATTTATAATTTGTACTCTTAAATTTTTAATTATTATTTTATACTATATTATTGTTTATGCTAGTTATTAAAATTAAAATATAAATAAAAATTAATAAGTAAAATTATCTCTTTTATAGCCAATTTATCAGGATATCCTTCAGCATGAACCTATGTTGAATCATGTTTTAAAAACTGCAAAGCAACTTTTAAAAAATAAGAAATCCGGTGAAGAGCGTGATCGTCTAGAGAAAACGGTTAAAAATGTAGAAGAAAGGTGGAGTAGTTTAAAGGAGAAAGTAATAAGACGTCATAAACAAATTCAGAGAGTTATGCCTGAGGCAAATATTCTTAATAATGAGTTAGAGTACTTTTTGACATGGCTAGAACAAATGGAAAAAAATATAAAATTGCTTCCAGTTTTATGCTGTGATTATGAAGAAACTATTCAAAGAAAAAGAACTTTGCAGGTAAAAGCTAAAATCTTTCAAATTTCTACTTTAAAATCGTTGGTTTTTTTTTTTTGTTTTTTTTATTTTTATTTTTCTTAATAATAAAATCAAAAGAATTTAAAAAAAAATTTTTTTTTTTTTTTAGGATTTTGCAAAAGAAGTTGAGCTGCATGAATCTGTTCAAAAGAAAGTTAACACCATAGTAGCAAAGTATTTAATTCTTTGTACGAGTCAACCTGCAGACGAACCAGTACTAGACCAAGATCAGCTTCAGCGACAATTTGATCATTCCTCCATGAGATACAGCAATTTACAAATACAAGTTAAAGATTTAATGGAGCAAACTGAACGATTAGAGACATGCTTAAAAACAATTTTCGAAAAGGAAAAACTTTTAAATGAATTTTGTAGTGAAGTTAATAGAACATTGGATAATCAAAAGTTTGTCAATCATAATACTCTGAAATGTAAAGAAGAAGCTGCCAAAATTTTAGTAGGTTTTTTTTTATTTTTTACACATAAGATATTAAAATTAAAAAATAATGATAATTTATACTAATTTATTCAAGATATTACTTTATAGATATTTATATTTGTAGGTATTACTTGCACAAGTTGATAAACATGAAGAAGATTTACAGGCAATTAATGCAAGCAGTCATATTGTAGAACAACTACTGGATAGGTTTAAAGTTGATACCACAAAATCAAAACAGTTACCTAAAGACGTTAACAATAAATTTCAAAAATTGCGTCATAAGTTAGCAGAGCGCCAGCTTGCAATTGATGAAGTAATTGTAAAAGTTATGGAATTTGAAACAAATTTACGAGATAAACAGAAAACTGTTTTTGAAATTGAAAAGAAAACTGAGCCTATGTTTTTAAAATCTCAACCAATGACAGGTGATAGAGTTAAAGAAGAAATTGATTGTGTGGCTAGTTTCCTTGACCAGTTAAACAGTTCACAATTGGAACTGGATAATGAATATATTGTTGGTGATTGGTTAATAGGAAAGTCTAATAGAGACCCTTGTATTGTACAAGACATTCAAATGCGACTAAATGAAGTTAAGAATCCTAAAGAAAAATTGATCAAGAAATTGACAAGCTACAAAACTCATTTGGCTGAGACACTTCAACAGTTTCAAGTACTTTCAGAGAAACTTAATAGTTTTGAAGAAAAGATACATGTGGCTGAGGAGCAACTATCTTCTTTAAACCCAATATCAGCAAAATTTATTGTAGCAAGAGCTCAGCAAGAACAATTCAAAGTTAGTATTTTATATTTATTATCATATATTATATATATATATTATATATATATATATATATATATATATATATATATATATATACACATATATATATATATATATATATATATATATATATATATATATATATATATATATATATATATATATATATATATATATATATATATATATACATTTTAGATAAATCTTTCTATTTTTTTTTTCTAAATATTTTATTCAATTTTTTAGCCTATACTAAATGATGTCATGTCTCTAATGGCAACAAAAAATATCATTGAAAGTGAATATAACAAACTGTTGCAGAAAAAAAATGATGACATTGAAAAAAACACTGGTGTAGAAAAGAAAATTTCAGATACGCTTCATCGATGGGCTGAAGTATATGTAATAATGTCTAATTACCAGCAACAACTGACATCAATATTACCACTGGAAGGCAACTACCACTTTTCTTTCATGAAACTTCAACCTTGGTTAGATAGCGCTGAAAAACAACTTGAAGTAATAAAGAAAGAAGCAGTTCAGACGAACACTTTTGTTGATATATCTAGCTTAGTAAAAAATTTTCAAAGAGATGTCATTGATCATCAACCAACTTATCAAGATTATAATACTAGCTCCTCAAAATTACTAAATAAGTGCTCTGAAATTGACATAAAAACTGATGTTGGTTACATTGTTGATGAAGTAAATCATGTGAATCAAAGATGGGACAGGCTTCGCAGTGGTATTGATGATGTTAACAGAGCTACTGCATACTTGAAAAAAGCATTAAATGACTTTGATAAAATTTGTGAGCCTGTTGTTGAATGCATAGACAGTATTAAGGTTGCACTTGATGAACAAATTCCAGTTGGTTTGGACCTTGACTCATTGGAATTTTTCCAAAATGAATTAGATTCAAATGTTGAATCAATGCATGAAAATGAACTTTGTCTCAAAGAAGTTGAAAAAAAATTAGAAGATGTTACTTCAGTGATTGAAAAATATGGTGGTGATGCCACTAATGTTAAGAAGAAATATAATGATCTCAATAAATCCTGGAAAAATATTAACAATGAGATTATCGCTAAACGAGATAAGTGTAAACAGTATATGAATCAGGTTATCAGATTTGTTAATGGTGTTAATGATTTAGATAATTGGGTAAATGCAAATAGTATTGCTGTAACAAATCTGAAACCAACAAGTGCCACACCTGATGGTGTTAAAAAGCAACTTGAGCAAATTGACTATTTTATGGAAGAGATAAATAACCAGAAGACAAAGTTGTCTAACATAGAAGATGTAGCAGATTGGTTAGGAGATGAAAAGAAAGATAATCCTGTTTTCTGCTCCAATCTTAAAAATAAACTAAATAAAGTTGATCAACCACTTGACCAAATTCGAAAGTTGCTTGTTGATAAAAAGAGCAAGCTGCAGACTGTTTTAGCAGAAGCACAAGATTTTCAATTTGCATTTAATGATGTTTCTGTAGAGCTTGATAAGTTATTTGGGAAACAAGAAAATCAAAAACCTGTTAGCGTTGCTTGGAAGGTTCTAAAATTACAAAATGATGAACATGCTGTAATTGAAAAAGAAATTGATGCAATGAAACCTATTCATGACAAAATCGTTACTTTGGGAAGCAAAATCATTAAAGATTCATTGCATTCTTCAGAAACAATTGAATTAGAGGATAGACTTACAACTCTTAAGAAACGCTATACTGAATTAATACAGGCAGCGTTACTAAGGAGGGGTGTTATTAACAAACTTTCTCCGAATTCAGAAAAATTTTTCAATAAAGAAGACGATTTGTCAGATTGGTTAGATGAAGTTGAGAAAAGTATTGAAGAGTTTAATTTAATACCATTATCCTTTGAAGATGTATCAAAGATGGATGATAAAATAAATCATTTAGATCAGGATATTGCTAAAAAACAATCAGAATATGAAGAAATTCTATCTATTAGCGAAAGTTTATTTTCACAAGCAACTCAAGAGCAAGTTAATAGAGATGTAATTGAAACAGAGAAAAAATTAACTACTGTTTCTGAACGCTGGAGAAAGTTAAATGCAAAATGTGCTAGCCGAAAAGAACGCATCAAAAAATATAAAGAGCTTTTTAAAACAATTTCTCTAACAATAGACCAACTAAAAAATACAATAAATTCTTTTGAAAAGCTAATAGAAGCTCTTCCTCCGCACAGTGTCGATGCAAACAAAACTGAAGCAGCTTTGAAAAAGATTACTGAAATTTTTAATGAATTGATTTCACATGAACAGCAACTAGAAATGTTGGATTCAACAAGTAATGCACTTATTACTTTGATTGATTCAGATGATGTCAATAGGTCAGGTGTCAGCACCTCTGTAAAATCACAAGTCATTGGAATTAAAGATAATTTTAAAAAGCTGAAGAATTATGTGCAAGATCAAAAATGTAATCTGGAAAAAAAATCTAAGGTTGTATATCAATTTAATAATATCTTGCAACAAGTAAATGATCGATGCAATGCTGCTAGCAATGAAATTGGGTTACTGGCACCTGTTAGTAAGGAGCCAGAAGAAGCCAAAAAACAGATCCAAAAAATTGATGTAAATATAAATTAAATCTTTATTTTTTTAATTTATTTTTGCGTATTTGTTTTTTTTTTAATTTTTTTTTTTTTTTTTTAGAATTTACTAGAAGATTTAATTCATCAGCGTACAGCTCTTTTATCTGCTGAGGAAAGCGGAAAATGGCTTACTGAAAATTGTCTCGATGATAAAGATATTAGAGCTGATGTTCGAACATATCTTGCAAAAGTATATTCTCCTCTAGAAGCTTTAGAAAGTAAACTAAAAGAAAGAAAATTAAGACTTGAAAATGCTGTTATGAGAGGACAAGAATTTGATAAGTCACTTGGTGATCTTACAGATAAGTTTAGTTCTTTAGAGTTTCAAGTTCAGCGACAAAGTATGATATCTGTTGAGTTTAATAAACTTTCATTACAGCAACAAGAACAAAAGATGTTATTAAAAGAATTGAAAAATTTGAAAGTTTCATTTGAGCATTTAATAAACAGTGCTGATAAAGTGTTAAACTCTTTGGAAACTGAGAAAGAAAAAGAATTAACAGAATTAAAATTAAAAGATGTTAAAAATAATTGGGAAAATCTTTCCAAATGTGTTTACCATCGATTAGATGTCATAGATAAAATTGAGCCTTTATCAGTATCTCATCATAAAGCAAAAAAGCAGGTTGAAGAACGTCTGCTAGATAATGAATCAATTCTTAAAGATCTTGAACAAGTTCCTGTGACAAGAGAAGAACTTTTTAAGTTTAAAAAAGCAGTAAATAAACTTAGTTTTGCAGCTGAAAACCATGCAAATGATCAAAAAACTTTAAATGAGAGTTTAGAAAAACTTAGCTCAGTTTCAAATGAACATCCAAAGGAAGTAACAAATCTTCAAGATGTAACTGAAGATACAAATAAATTAAATAAAAGATGGTCAAAACTGGAAAAAGAAATTTTAATTTTCAAATCACGAGTTGATACTTTGTCAGTTGTTATTAATAAATACTTTAATGGCTACAATGCTGTTGATAAAGCAATTGATGATTTATCAAGTTCATTAAAGTATCAACCATCTTTTGGCATTGATAACGATTTAGCCCAAAGAGAATTAGAAAAAATAAAAGCAAATATTGACCTATGTAGCAAAATTAAAGAAGATCTTGATGTAGTAGTTTGTTCTTCAACTGAATTTGAGAAGGTTGTTGATGAGTATGATGGTGATAGTTTGTCTGTTAAGGAATCAACAAAAAGACTAAATTCCAAAATGAAAGATGTTCAAGATCAACTGCTTGTTAAGAAAGATGATGTTGAAAAAAAGTATAAAGTGTTATTGCAGTTCCTCGATACATTAAAATTGGTTAATGATTGGAACAACAGTTCTAATCAAAAGCTTGTTACTGTTGGCTCAGTTAAACTCACATCAGATCAAATTAAAGCTCAGCTTGAAGTTGTGAATGTATGTATTTTTAAATATTACCTTCACATAAACATTTTTTTCTTGTTATAAGTTATGCTTTTTATTAAATTATTAAATTTATTTTGTTTCTAATAAGAAATATATTGCAATGAAATATTTTTCTTAATTTTTTAGAATTAAATTTTTTATGAATAAAACCAATTGATGTTTTATAGGGTTTAGAAGAAGAGTTGTCTCGCATACGTCCAAGAATGCAGGTTTTACAAGATTCTGCAAACTGGTTAATTGATAAAAATGGTGATGATCGTGTTGCAGTTAATAGCATAAAAAATAAACTTGATGCTGTAATTAATCCTATAAATGAATTAGCAAAAAAATTGAATGAAAAACAAAATATTCTTCAATCCTCATTGTTACAAACACAAGACTTTGAAACAATACTGAATGATGGCTCTGATAAATTGTCAAAAGCAGAAGTGATGATGAGCAGAGAAAAACCACTTTCCTTAAAATATTGCATACTATGGAAACAAGATGAAAATTTTCGTGCTTTTGAAGTTGACACATTACAAATAAATCCGATTATTGAAACGCTGGTGAAATCTGCAAAAAATATTATGGATTTATCAGACGGACAAAAAGATGCAGATAACAAAGTTAAAGAATTAATTAAACGAAGAGATATCCTTTGTAATAAAATTAAAGATAGGCGTGATGAATTTAATGTTCTATTACCCGTAGCTAAAGAGTATGAAGCAATAGAAGACATCTTTAAAAAAATAGTTACTGAGTTAGAAGATGAGTATAAAAAAGTTCAAAATCTTCCAAGAAGTCAACAAGAGTGCGAAAATCAGATCATGCATATCCAGGATCTTAAAAAGAATATAGATACTGCTATGTCCAAGCATAGTCATTTTATTTTCAGCTATGATAATTTAAAATCTTCATCTAAAAAAATTAAAGAAACAGCGGATGAACAAATTGTTAATGATGATTTTGTCAACCAGAGTAAACGATGGGATACTTTACAAATAAATGTTAATGAGACTTTTGATCAGATTAAAAAAATGCAACATTGTTTTGTGAAATTCCAGGAAGCTCGAAAACCTGTTTCTGATGAGTTAGATCATTATCAAGTATTTCTTTCAAACATTCAACCATTTGGTCTGGATATTCCTGTTGGTAAAAAGGCACTAGTCAACTGTGAAGAATTTATTAAGAATATAGAAAAAATAACAAGAGAGCTTGATTTAGTTGTTAAAACTGCTAATGATTTAACAGATATCTATAAAAACTTTGGTGCTGATCCATGGTCTATAAAGGCTGAAGTTGCAGATTTAAATCAAAGATTTGAAGAGATGAAAAAACGCTTTCAACAGTGCAAAAATAAACTTGTTGATGAAGTGAAATCAGTAGAAAAATGGACTCATTCCACCCTTCAACTTGATGAATGGATTAAGGTTTTCACTGATAGTTACAATCTTATTCAACCTATCAGTACTTTACCCGAATGCATCAAGCAACAAATTATTGAGGTTGAAGATAAGTTGAAAGATATTGATGCAAATAATTCAAAACTCAAAGAAGTTCAAGAGATCAGTGAAGAAGTGTGCAAAAACAATGTTGGAGATTTTGCTGTGAAATCAGAAGTTGACCTAAAAATAAACAAATCTAAAGACCTTGTGTTAAGAATGAGATCTAAACTTGTTGAACGCAAAGCCAAACTAGAAAATGTATTATTAGATTCACAAGAATTGCATGACTCATGTGATGATTTTGCTGATAAGTTAACTCAGATGAAAAAACTAGTAAACAAATTGAAACCTGTTTCTGCAAAATATACAGTTGTAAAAAAACAACATGAATCTATAGTGTTATTTTTGGAAGAAATACACCAGCTTGAATCTATTTATCAACGACTGGAAAAAGCTGCTGGTAAAGTTTTAAGTGGTAATAATTCGTTAGAAGAAAAAATCTTAGTTGAAAAAATTAAAGACCTGCGAACCACTTGGATAGATTTGCAGTCAGTTGTGAAGCAAAAGAAAGAAAAAATTGAGTTTGTTTTACCGTTGTCCAATGAGTATGAAAAAAGCACTCAAGAGTTTACTTCTTGGTTAAACAACATTGAGGAAAAACTGATATCTGAATCTATCAGAGATCCTAAAACTAAAGAAAACATTGATAAAAAGATGGAAATAATAAAGGTTTTGATATTTTAAAATCTTTTTCACCTTTTTTTTTTTTTGTGTGGATATTATTAAAGCAATTTTCAGTTTTTTGTGAGTGAATTTTGAATTTTTTTTTTTTTTTTTTGCAGGGTTTTAAAAAAGATATAGATAGCCATACACTTGATTACAAGTCAATTTTGGAACTAAAAGAAAGTTTGTTAAGTAAGTGTGAAGATCACATTGTCGAAACTGAAGAAGAAGTCAAATCAATTACTGAAAGATGGGAAAAGTTACAATTTAGTGTGGATGATTATAACACAAATATAGTGTCTTTAAAAAATAGTTTGAATGTTTTTGATGAAAAAGTTGACTCTATAGAAGATTTTATAGTGGAGTGCGAGCAGTCAGTTAATGATTTAGAACCTGTTGATATAGATAAAGATAAAGCAAACAAGCAAGTTTTGCTGCTTAAGGTTTGATAAAATTTAAATGCTTCAAGTTATTATATTATCTTTAGTTATTATTTAGCTAAATATTTTTTACATTAAAAGTAAATTTATTTCAAATTATAAGTGTATTCTCATGAATATTTGTACCATAATGTAATATATTTTTCTCCACAGGATCTGCTAAATAACTTATCTGATAAAAAACAAGATTTATCTCAAGTAGAAATTTTAAGTCAAGAAATTTGTACCAATAATGACCTTGATCCAATAACTGTGAAAGACAAACTAGCTGAATTAAATAACAAGTATGCAAACATAAAGTTTGTGATTACTTCAAAAAAAGATAAGTTGGTTGAATATGTTATGATAGTTGAAGAGTACTACATAATAGTTGAAGAGATTTCTGAATATGTTCTTTTCATAAACAAGAAAGGAGTTTTTAAAGAAGCTCTTAGTACAGAACCTGATTGCATCAAAAAACAAATAGCAGAAATTGAGGTGATTTCTTCTTTTAGTGTTTATGTTTAATTTTAGAAAAATTATCTTTTAAATGATTTAATTTTTGTACCAGTTTTTTATTTTTTTATTTTGATTAATTTTACTTTAGGCTAGTTAGACCAGTTTTTTATTTTTTATTTATTTTACTTTAGGCTATTCAAGATGAGTTTATTGACAAGAAACCAAAGTTAGACAGAGCTAAAAAACTTATGAATGAAATTATAAAAGAGTGTCAGGATAATTTCCTTGTATGTCAAGAAGTTACATCGGTGTTTGACAGTGTAAGCAGACCTATGGAAGATTTATGGTTGAATATCGAAGTTCGTCAAAACAGACTTCAAGAAGCATTAGGACAATCACAAAAATTCCAAGAAACATTTGATGATTTCTTAGATAATTTAGGAGTTTTAGAAGAACGCATGTTTAAAATAAAACCTGTATCTGCAAAACTTTCTATTTTAAAAGAGCAGAAAAAAGAACACGATCAAATACATAACGATATTCTACAGCAGGAACCAGTCGTTGATGATCTGTTAAAAAAAGGGGAAGAAATGTTAAGTAGTGTTGAAGCTGGAGAGGAAAAAACAAAAATCATTGAACGAACTGAAAAAGTTAAAGAACGCTATCTTAACATTAAAAAGGATTCAGTTGCAAGACAAAAGAAACTTTTAGATCAACTAAATTTTACCCAAAAGTTTGATGACGAAAATTCTTCGTTTAAATTATGGTTAAATAGTTCAGAAACAAGAGTCAATGAAGCCGAACCACTTCCGTGTGAAGAAGCAACTATTACCAGAAATTTGAGAGATGCAAAAAATCTTCAGCGTGAAATTCTTGAGTGTAAACCAAAATTAAAATTGCTTGAAGAGCTTTGTAACTGTTCTGTTTCTAATGCCGATGTTGATCAGTTAGCTGTAAAGAGTGAATATGAGAAGTCATATACTCGCTATGTCAAACTTAGTACTCACGTAAATGAACAAGAAGCAAAGCTTCTTGAGTTATTAGACTTGTCCCAAAAGTATTTAAAGTATTTAAAACCAATTAATGAATTGCTTGATGATGTTGAAGTTTCTGTTGTTTCCAATATTTCTATACATGGAGTAGATATGGAAAAAATATCAAAGGAACAAGAAAGTATTAACTGTTTGATGAAAAAAATTGTTGAAATTCTACCTACTATTAAAGATTTTAATGATACTAGTAAGTTGCTTGCTGATAAAGCTGATAATGAGTCTCCTGAACAAAATATTTTAAAAAAGAAAATTGATTCTGTAAATGAACGTTATCGTAAACTTCGTGATCAACTTCACGAAAAATACGATCAGCTTAATGATTATTTTTTCAAAGCAAAAAAATACAATGAGTGTTGTGAAGAATTTGCAGTTTGGTTTTCTACAATTTTAAAGTCACCATGTATTGCTGAACCTATTGGTATCACCACAGATGTATTAAGAAAACAGTTGCAAGATGTCGAAGTATATTTTTATTTAAAATTTAAATAATTTATTTAAATTTTTTTCAATAATATCAAGGTTTGAAATAAGTAGTACTAGACCCCTATGATCTGTAAAACTATTTGCCTTAATAAAATGGGATAATTGGCTGTCAGTCATGTTATCTTGAAGTATGACTTCAAGCTGTGTAGCAGGTCATATAGGTCTTTGTTTGGAACTTATTTTGAGCCCTTTCATGCATATATATATATTTCACTAACACTGACAGTTTTTGCAAAATTTAAATGCTTGAACTAAATTTGCATAAATATGGATGAATTACCATGTTTAAATTATGTTGACACCATTTTAATTATATTTGCACATGTTTTAATTAAACTTATTTATAATCGTGTTTGAACTTAACTATAAATTGCCATGCAATTATTGAAAAAGTTTTTTTTTTTTTTTGGGGGGGGGGAAAGTGCATTTGTATATTCTTTTCACCTTTGATTGGTAAAGAAATAAAATGTTAATTTTTATTTGTTATTTTTATTATAGAATGTACAAGATGAAATTATCAAAAAGAAACCCTTATTGCAAACTTGTAGTGATAATGGAGAATGGTTAATTCGAAATTGCAGATCAAATTCAGCCTTAAAAGATAGTATCAATGATAACTTAGAGAGAAATCATGATAACTTTGATAATTTTGTTACTAAAGTAGAAATCAGGCATAAAAGAATTCAAAACTCATTATTGAAGAGTGAAGAGTTCCAAAGTACATTTGATGGTTTGAACTCATTATCCAAAACATTAAATGATGAAGAGCCATTGACTGTTGATTATGAAAGTTTATCTCATATTAAGAATAAGCATGAGGTTGGTTGTAAAGTTTTTATTAATTTATGTAATTTTAATTTTTTGTTTTGTTTCAACTTCTTTTATTTTTATTTTTTATTATTATTAAATAGTTGGTACATTTGGACGTTGTTAGAAAGGAACCAATTTACAATGCTATGATTCAAAATTTTAATAATCTAATTGACTCAGCTGAATCTGATTCTGAAAAAGAAGCTTTACAAGCTAAACTTTTAGAAGCAATTAATTATTGGAGAGTTATCAAAGACACATCGTATAAGCGAAAAGAAGATATTGAAACACTCCACCCTGTTCTTCATAAACATGAACAAAGTTTGAAAGAGCTAGAATCATTTGTCTATGACTCAGAAAAACGTAAAGAAAATTTAAAATCAGTATCGTTTGATAAGAAAACTCTTTTGAAACAGATTAGTGACTTAGAGGCAAGTCTATTTGATTTTTTTTTATTAGTTTTAGGCATTGCAAAGTAGTAGTATGGTTATTGTTTTGTTTGTTTTCTTCTTCTTCCTGTTCTTTTTCTCATGACCGCAGTGCAGTGTATTAATGCATTTGTATTTCATTTTAGGAATTTATGAAAGACATTGAAAAACACAGCCACTTGTTTGATCACTACCAAAACACCTGTAAACCTATTTTTCACCTATGCAATAAGTTTTTAATAAAAAAAGGTGTACCTGAATTGCAACACAAAATCGCAAAGACTGAAGAAAGATGGAATAAGCTAAAACAAGATGTTATTCAGCGAGATAAAATTTGCAAAGAAAATTTAAAGAAGATTGATGATTCTTTTATGCAGTTAACACCACTTGATGAATTAATCACAGAAGTAAAGAAGGTTTCAAAGCAACCATTATCTTTTGGAGATGATACTGAGAAACTTAAAGTTGAAATGAAGAAAATAAAGGTATTAGTAGTTATTTATTTACTATTTATAATAACATTATTTATTACTATTTTGTTACCATATCTTAGCAGTATGATTGTTTTTACTATAAATTAATTTTCTGTTTTAGAAACTAAAGGAAAGTTTGAGCGATAAGAAACCAGTTGTTGAGCATCTGCTTAAAGAGATACCAAAATCTCTTCAAGAATCCGAAATAAATCCACAGCCATTTGAAGAAAAAATCACATCTATAGACAGACAATTTGATGATTGTCAACTAAATTTAAATGAAGCTGAAAAGCAGCTAGATGAAGAGCTTGATAAAATTGAAAAATTTATTGATATATGTAAATGTTTAAAAGAGTGGTTACCAAAAGCACATTCAGCTTTGGAAGATCTTCATGTCTCATCAGAAAACGAAATCAAGAAACAAGTTGAAAAACTAAAAGTATTATAATTATTATATTTTTAATGCTATTTTTTAAAAACATGTAATTAGTTTGTGGAGGATATATGTATGTTTGTATGTGTGTATATATTTGCTTATTAATTTACAACAAATCAAATTTTATAGGATATTGAAAGCAGTATTGTTGATCATAAACCAGAACTTTTAGCTGCTGAAAAATATGGCTCTTTATTGCTTGAGACAAATAAGGATGTGCCTAAATCATGTGCTGTTATTGCAGATAGGTTGAACGATGTTACTATTCCATTCCATAATTTAATCAATAAAGTTGAAGATAAACAGAAAGATCTTTCAGCAATACTAAATGCTTTTGAAAATTTTAATAAAGAAAAGAAGCCAATTGAAGAGTTGATTACCAGCACTGAAAATATATTAGACAATATGGAACCTTTTGAACTTGATGTCCTAAAGGGCAAAGAACAGTGTCAACAACTTGATGTAAGAAAATTGAAAAAAGGTTTTAATTGGTCTATAATTTTTTTCTAATTTGTTAACATTTTTTTTGTTTATTTTTTTAAGGAGCATTTGCTAACATTGGAAAAACGTAAACCAGAGTTAAGAGGTATTAATCGTGTTGGTCAAGCCTTAATAAGACAGCTACATGATCCTACACAAATCGAGAAGCTTCTAGACAACTTGAGTGACAAATATTTTGAAACTTTAAGAAAGACAAAGGAAAAAACTATTAAACAGAAAGATTCTTTGGCTAAAGTAATCGAGGTCATTACCATAATTGAGACTTTAGAGGTATGGATCGAGGAGATTTATGAAGTTATTAATCTATTTGATTCAAGAACTAAAACTCCTGAGGAAATTAAGAAACAGTTAATAAGTATTGAGGTATAGATTTTTTTTCAACAAAAATAATTAAAACTTCTTTTATTTTTTTATTTGCACTTTTAATCTATTTTATAAATATTTTGTTTCAGAATGTACGAGTTAGTTTAAGAAATGTTGGATCTCCTAAGCTGAACGAGTTAAAGGATATTAAAAACTGGTTTATAAAAAATAATCAAGACAGCATTGTTCCAATGATTGAAATGCGTGCAAAGAAAATAGAAGAACCAATAGCAATTATTCCTCAAAAGCTTGATGATTTGGAAAATCAGTTACAAGATTCATTAAGTGAGACCAAATTATTTCTTGATAATTTTGATGCTCTTTCTCGATGGCTTGGTAAGATAGAAAATACTGTTAAAGAACAAAAACCTCTGTCTGCTGATGAAACCATAAACAATCATCAATTAAATGATCAAAAATATGTCATTAATGAAATAGAAAAAGAAGAACCAAAGTTTTTAGAGCTTTTTGAATTAGATAAACAACTCTCAAGTGTCGATGATGATCCTTTAGGAGAAAAGCTATCTAGTATCAAAGAGAGATGGGATAAAATGAAAATCCAGGCACTTAATCGCAATTTGTCTCTTAAAAAGATCCACGATTTAATAAGTAAATATAATGACAGTAAAAGAAATCTCCTTCCATGGCTTGAAAAAATAGAAAAGCAATGTGATAATTTTGATTTTATTAAAGTTGATTCAGCTGAACTAAATAAACAGGAAAAGGATCTTTTGGAAATATTTGAAGATTTTATAAATCACAAATCAATTGCAGTTGATACAACAGATTCAGCTACTTTATTGATAGAAGAAGCAACGCATGACACAGAATCTGTAGTTAAAACCAAAAAAAATATTGATGAAAGAATGCAAGCTGTTCAAGAAAAATTAGATAATTCAAAGAATAAAATTAATAAAATGAATGAAACAGTGAAAAAATTTGATTTGAAATGCAGATCTGTGGAAGATGTTTTAAAAAAGGTTGATGATGCCGTTGTTCTCTCCTGTCCAATGATTGATGACAATGAAAAATGGCTAGATTGTGTAAATAACCTTAAAGATATGACCAATGAAATGGCTAGACAAAGAACAGATATTAACGATCTTAAAAAGCTTGGAGATAATCTCCTCAGTATTGATAACAAATCCTCTAATGTTGCATTTATTCATACTATTACAACTTCTCTATTGAATAGATGTGATGAGCTAGATAATAAACTTAAAGAAAAAATATGTAAGGCTGAAAAATACATCAATACTACTAAAGTGTTTAAAGAAAAATTAGCTGAAGTTAAAGAAAAATCTAAACCTTTATTTTTGAAATCAAGTTCTTTACAGCCAATCGGAACTACACCCAATAAAGTAAAAGAACAGTTAAAAGAAGTTGAAGAGTTACAATGTGATGCGCAGAAAGTCTGCAACTTATGCAATGAAGCTGAAATATTTGCAAATGAATTGGATGTATTTTACACAAAAGAAATTGTTAATGAGTTCTTAGAAAACCATTTAAGCTCTCCAAAACAGTCTCTAGGTGACTTAAATGAATCTTTAGACAAAAGAGAAAAGGTTTTAAAAGAAAAGCTAAATGAATGTGGGGCTTTGCAAGATCAAATTGACGACTTTGTTCGAAGAATTGAAAGCATTCACAAAAGAGTTAAAGAACAAACAGTCAAGCCACTTTCAATGAAACCTGGATCAATTGCTGTTAGTTTAGGAGTTCTTGAGGTAAGTTTTATTATTTGTTATTGTTTTTATCTGATTTTATTTTTAAATAATAATTTTTTATATATTTTTTATCTTTTATACATTGCTGAGATATTAATTTTTGACTAGGTTATAATAAAAGATAAAAGTGAAGAAAAGTCAATATACACAGTATTAATTGACCAGTTAGAAAGCTTGATTTCAGCAAGCAAAGAACCCAATGAACAAGCTTCATTGAGTTTAAAAGTAAAGCAAATAAAAGAGCTGTGGTCTGCACTTGATAATGAAAGTGAAAATGAACTGAAAAAGGAAAAAGAACTTTATGCTAAATCAAAACACCTTGATGATAAAATAAAAGAAATTGAAAAGTTGGTTAGCAGTCATAAAGAAAAACTACTGTCTTTAAAACCTGTTTCTTGCTCTCCTGAGGTTCTTGCCATTCAGCAAACCGAAATCAATGTAATATTTTCATTTTTTCAAATTCATTTTTTTGTTTTTATGTTTACAAATATCTTTTTTACTTTATAAATTTTGTGTAGAAAGAAAGATTAAGATAAAAATATAAAATAAATGTGTTTGTGTTTCAGAGTCTCCAGAAAGATGCAACAGCTCATTTGGTGATGCTTGAAGACTTAGAAAAAATGTTTAAAGAAGTCAAATTTTTGTGCTCAGCAGATGCATCTGAAGTTGAGCTAAATCTGAATGCACTAAAGGCGCAATGTCTTGAATCTCAGAATGTTGGAAATAAAAGACAGAAGGCTGTGTCAGATATCCAGGACAATGTTGCAAAATTTTTTGATGTACTACGACCATGTAAAGAGAAATTAGTTAAAGTGGAAAAAGCTGTAAATGATTTGACTATATTATCTGATGATAAAGATAAAATAGTAAAGTCACAAGAAGATCTAAAAAATTTAGGAAAACAAATTGAGGATTTGGATATCAGGGTTACAAATTTAAATGCAGTTGTTGACAACTTACAAAATAACCATCCTGAATCAGATTCAAAACAACTGCGTAATGATACTGATGAAACAAAAAATCGTGTTGAAAAGTTAAAGAAGGTGCAATGTGAAAAGATGAATGAATTAGAAGTCCTTTTAAGTGACTGGAATATTCTTGAAAATAATATCAATAAAGCTAATGAAGTGATTAAAGAAACAAGCTTAGCATCTAAATCAAGTAAACCAAAGGCTTTAGATGTTGCTGATCTTGATGCAATAACAAAGAATATTCAAGTAATAGAAAAGAGTTTTAAAGAGCATCAACCTCTATTTGAAGATATTCAGAAGCAAGGAAAAAAACTAAGAGAAAAGGGCATTGTTTTGTTTGAACCTCAACTCTCAGGTATTAATTTTCAGTTTAAAGAAGTTCAAAGCTGCATTCCTGAACAATTTGCAGAACTTCAAAGGATAAAAGACCAGTTGAATAATTTCGACAAGAAGCTATTAATAGCAGAAGGAGATATCTCTAGCTTAGAAAACTCACTTGATGAACAAGCTCCTGTAGGTGCAGATAAAGAAACTTTAGAAAAACAAATTCATGGTATTGAAAAATTAATTCCTGATTTAGAAAAGCTTAAAGAAAAGCTATCACAGCTTAATTATATAAGATCAGATTTAAATTCAAATTATCCTGATTCTGATAAAACGAAACTTAATGAATCTTTTAATAATGTGAATGATAAATTGAACAGTATAAGTCAAAGAATATACGAAAGACGAGCCAAACTAGAAGGATTATTGTTACAATCTGGTCAATTTGGAGACGCTATTAAATCATTATTGGGATGGTTAGAAGAAGCAAAGGGAGTATTAGACGGCCAAAAACAAATTAATGCTGCAGATGAAAATGTTTTAAAAGCCCAAATTCAGGAGCAAAAGCTTTTATCAAAAATGTTTACTGATCGTGAACCAAGCTTAAAACATTTACAGAAAACAGCTAAGGAATTACTCTCTTCGACAGAAGATCCTGAAAAATTAAAAGAAATTGAAGAAGATCTAGCCAATTTTACCAATGAATGGAACTCAGTTAGTGATAGGGTTACCAAACGTAAAGATGATCTTGAGCAGACACTTGTAAATGCAGAAAAGTTCAATAAAAACATAACTGATCTTGACAAGTTACTTGTTGAACTGGATGAAAAAGTTAGCTCAGAAAAAAATGTACCATTTGGTGATGCAAAAAAAGTTGAAGAGCAACTAAATGAAATGAACACTATTGATGAAAGATTGAAAGATTTTCAAGATCTATTGGAAACTGTGGAACAAGATGAAGCAGATCTTCTTTCTATGTGTACTCCTGATGATTCTACTATTGTTAAAGAGAAAAGAAAGAAATTAGTAAACAAATATGAATGTTTGGCAGATAAACTTTACAAAAAAACAAGCAATCTCAAAAAAACTGGTGATATCCTCAAAGAATTTTATATCTCTGAGAAAACTTTAGATGAAAATATTGAAGAAATTGAAATGAAATTGAAATCTACAGATGTGTCTGATGAAAAAGTAAAAAATTTGCAAAAAGAAATTACAAAATGTAAACCCATTTTAGAAAACCTGAAAGACCAGTCTAAAGAGCTAAAGAAACTTATTACACCAAATGACTATCCGCAGATAAAAAAACGAGTAGAAGTGGAAGAAGACAAATTGAAAGAACTTAAATTAACTGTTGACCAATGTGCTCGAGAAATGTTCATGGCAAATGAAAAGATAGATGACTTTAACTATAAGGTTGACGATTTAAGCAAATGGACAAATGAAAAATTAAAAGAGTATAGATTGTTAGAACCAGTTGCTGTTGAACCTGAAAAAGTTAAAGAACAACTTGCTCAACAACATATTTTCTCCACTGATTTATCAAGCAAAGAAGCTGAGTTCAAAGAAATCTATAATATAAGTGATGCAATAGTTAATGCTTGCAATAATGAAGAAGCTGCTCCAATTAAAGAAAAAGTTGATAACTTGAAGTACAATAAATTACAACTTGATAAATTTGCCACCGAAAGACAAAATCATTTGGTAGAAGCATTATTATTATCACAGCAATTTACTGATGTTCTAAAGGAGGTAGTTTCCAGGTTGTTTAGTACTGAAAAGCTGTTGAAGGTACTTGAAGAGGAAAAAGGTAAAGGTGTAGAGTTACAAAAAGAGAAGATCAATACAGTTGAAGAAAACGTTAAACAACTTCAGCCGTTGATGAGCACACTACGAGTTACTGCTGATGATCTAATTAAACTCAGTGGACCTGGACAGAGTTCTGATAACATTAAAAAGAAACTTAGTGAGTGTGAAGAGCGATGGAATTCCTTAAAAATTTCAAGTGAAAACAAAGGTATAAAAATTGTTGCTGCTGCTGAACAAGTGGAGGCTATTTGGAATCAAATTGATAATTTAATTGAAAAAAATCAAGCTATAAAAGAAGAATTTAAGGACCAAAAACTTCTACCTGTTAAGGAAAGTGAAATTATTGAAGAGATTCTAAAATTAGAAAAGCAAGAAGCTGCATTAGAGCTATTAAATAAGCCAGTCGATTACATAAATAAATATATTAGTGATGCAATAAAAGAAGACAGCAACTCTTCTTCTTCATATGCTCTAAAGGAACGTCAAAAGAAACTGAATAATTTATGCAAGTACAACACAGCCACAGCTATACAGCGTAGGGAAACTTTAGAAAAGACTCGAGATGCTGCCCAGAAGTTCTGGCTGGTAATAGACAAACTAAAAGAAACTCTGTTAGATGTTCAAGTCAAAATGGATGATGAAGTTGAGCCGTGTATTGATTCAATTGTTTTGGAAGAATTGATGAAAGATCATGAAGATTTACATAATACATTGAACAGTAATGAGGACATGATTAATTCTTTAATGGAGACCACTCCTATCCTAGTTGCAAATGCTTCACCTGAAAATAAATCGGATGTTCAAAAACATTTATCTGATATTACAGATCAATGGGACAATCTTGAGGCTCTTTGGAATAAGAAGAAATTTGACATGGATGAAGTCAAAAATAATCTTGAAGAATATATTGAAAGTAAAGATTTTGTGAATGAATGGCTGTCTCTAGCTGAAAATAAAATGGAAAAGAAAAAAATTTTACCAAATGGAATCAAAGAAATAAAAGAATATCTTTCTGATCAGCGAGATTTACAAAAAGATATGACAAAACATCAAGGTGAAATTGTGCTTTTATCCCAAAAAGCTGAAGCATTAGCGAGTAAAGTTGGTGATGATGATGAAGAGAAAGTGCTTGAGGAGTTAGCTGAGATAAAAAAACGTTGGGATGATTTGTTGGAAAAGTTTTATAAGTTACAAACACAACTTGATGATACACTTTTAAACCAAGGCTTTTTTGGAATTGCAATGGAAGAGTTACTTGCTTGGGTTGCAGAAACAAAGACAGAGCTTAAAAACTCTCAACCAGTTACTTATAACACAAAGTTAATTGATATTGAAACATCAAAATTGAAAGCAATTTCAAACGATGTTGAAAGTCATAAACCAAGTGTTGAAAATTGCAAGCTTTCAGCTAAAAAACTAATTGATAATGGTAATTCAACACCTGAACTCGAAAAAAATCTTTCTGAGTTAAACTGTGGGTGGGAAGAAATTCAAGATCTTCTTAAAACTCGTTCAAATGATTTAAATGAAGCAGTAGAAAATGCAAGTGTATTTGAAGATAAAGTTCAGGAATTATCCTCATGGATTACACACTCCAAATCTTCACTAAAAAACAAAACTCCTTACGGTGGAAAACTTGCAATAGTCAACAAACAACTTGAAGAACATCAAGAATTTATTTTAGAGTTAGAAATACACGAAGAAATATATTTCAATGTTATTGAAACATACGAGCTTATTATTGAGTCCAGTGACCTAAGCAATGCACGAAAATACAAGACTACTATTAGTAAAATGCAGTCTGATTGGAAAGAAATAAAAGAGTTATGTCAAGCCACCAAGGAAAAATTGGAAAATGCACAAGAAGATGCTAGAATTTATGATACTGTTTATCAAGACATATTCAAATGGATTATTGAAGTCCAAAATAGTTCAAAAATGGTTGTGCCAGTAAGTACCATAATTGAAACTATTGAAATTCAAATGTCTGAGTTTGAAGAAGTTTATACAATAATGGGAAATAAACGTGAAAAGTTTACTGTCTTGAGGAAGACAGCAGATAAAATAAAGCAGAACTGTGATTCTGAAGAAGCACTTGTAATTGAAGAAGACTTAGTGGAGTTAACAAAACAATGGAAGGACATAAGTAGCCTTCTTAAAGATCGCAAAAAGGTTTTAGATGAAAATTACCAGCAATCAAGTATATTCTTTGAAGGTCATGAACAAATCATGACATTCTTAGATGAAATTGAAGTTAAAATTAATAGTGATCCGACAATAGGGAAAGATGCAACATCAGTAAAAGCCCAATTAAAAAGACACAAAGAATATCAAAATGAACTTGGTAAAAAACAGTCAAAGTTAAATGCCATAGTCAAAGCTGGTTCGCTTTTAACTGCTAAGAGTAACCCTGATGATGCTATAATTATAGAAGAAAAAATTGAAATTTTACGTTCTCGTTGGGATATTGTTTGCTCCATCTCAGTTGACAGGCAACATCGTCTTGAAGAAGCTTTACTTTTCCACGGTATGTTTCATGATGCTGTCCAGACATTATTAGATTGGTTAAACACTGTTGAACCAGCTTTAGTTTCAGAAACTGCAGTTATGGGAGATCCTGACACTGTCAAACTTCTTATTGATAATCATACTGCATTTCAAAAAGCTTTAGAAAAAAAACTCAAGAGCTATGAATCTGTTATTAAAACTGGAGAAGCTATGTTGGCTGAAGGTAAAGTTGACAATGCTGAAGAATTGAAAGAGGAATTAGAGCAATTAAAGGATAAATGGGATGCTGTCGAGCAAATGACACTTACAAAAACAGAACGACTGGCAAGTGCTTATGCTCTTTCCAAAGAGTTCAAAACAGGCTGTTCAGAACGGCTACAGAATTTATCTGATTTAGAAAAAGAACTACTTGCTCAAGGTCCAATAATTGAAGAAATTCAAGGAATCAAAGAGCAAATTGATCAATTTCATAGCTTTGAAGAACTTTTGGAAAAAGAAGAGTTACAAGTTAATGGGTGCTTGAAAAAAGGTGAAGTTATTCTAAGATTTTGTCATCCATCTGCGTTACAAACTATTCGTCATCAAGTTGCAGTTGTAAAAAAAAGATGGATTGATGTCTCTAGTTGGGCAAAACAGCGTAAAGTAAGGTTAGATGAGGGATTGAATGTGCTGATTGAAGAAGAGAAAGTTACAAGCGAATTAATAGATTGGATAACTGAAAAGCAGTCCATCTTAGAAGAAAGAGAAAAATTGCCTTTGCCTGGCGATTATGAGCTTGTTAGTTATTTGTTAGAAGAACACAATGAGTTTAAGCGTTTAGCTGAGTCAAAACAACCTGACTACAACAAAATTATTAAAGGTGCAAAAAGGAAGCCAGTCACAGATTTACAACGGCGTTCTATGACTCCTTTGCGTGGTAAATCGATTGATTTAAATTCAATGCAGCGTGATTTTTCGAGTCCAAAAGTTGAATATTTGTCTAAGAAATGGCAACACTTCTGGCTACTTTTATTAAACAGGCTTACTCGTATTCAAGATTTGTTAGATTTTATTCGAATCAAAAAGGCGTCTGCTGAATTCAGTTGGGAAGATTGGAGAAACCGCTATAATGATTGGCTTCAAAATTCAAAATCACGTGTACTTGATATGTGGCGCAAAAATGACAATAATAAAGATAATAAATTGACGCGTGAGCAATTTATAAATGGAGTGATAGATCAGTGTTTCCCGTCAGAGAGATGGGAAATCGATCTTGTATTTAGTTATCATCAGAGAAGGAATTTGATATTATATCAAGATTTCATGGATGCATTAAAAGGTCGAGCACGAAAACCAGACAAGCCAGTTACTGAATCCGAACAAATTCATGATATTATTGAGATCGAAGTATCAAAATGCCGATGTGCTCATCCTTTCTCGGTTGTCAAAGTAGCTGAAGGCAAATATGAGTTTGGAGATAGTCATAAGCTAAGACTAATTCGGTTCCTAAGAAGTACTGTAATGGTTCGTGTAGGTGGTGGATGGGAAACTCTTACTGAGTTTTTAGAAAAGAATGATCCTTGTAAAGGTAAACAATTATTGTGTAATATTACTTAAAAAAGAGATTATGAGTTGATTGTAAAACAAATTTTTTTTTTTTTTTTTTGTAATTTTAAAATTTCAATTAAGTTTTAACTATATTTGAAAAAACGTTATTTTTAGCGGAAGGACGTACCAACTTTGAAGTTAGAGAAGAATTTATTTTGCCTGAAGGTGCCAGTCAATCCGTACAAGCATTTAAATCAAAAATGTCACAGCAAATAACTCGAGAGACATCGAAATCAAAGATCCCTTCCTTGCCACGCGAATCATCCAGCTCTAGAATTAGTACCCCGCCTATTAATCGCAAAAAATCAGATTTAGAAAAAGAAGGAAAATCTATTCCAACTTTCGGTACTAAAGATTATTCTGGGGTAAAAAGTCATGGCTATGGTATCACCCACAATATTCAAAAAAAGAAACGCGATACTCCTGAAAGTGTTACAAGAACACCCTCTCAATCTAAGATAACTCGTGAAATATCTAGCGATGTTTATAAACGGTTATACAGTTCACCGAGTTCAAAGACTGCAAAATCTTCTGTTGTTTCCCCAAAAACTGCAACAACAACGACAAAAGTTGGTCCTAAAATTTCAACTACTTCCAAAAGTGAAGTTACGACTGATAGTGCAAAATCTCTCAAAAAAGCAGACAAAAAAGAAGTGGGAAACGAACCCAATTCAACCTCTGGAGCATCTGGCACTGAAATGCCTGCAGAAAAAACCAAAACCACGAGGAAATCCATCAGTGGTGCAACCCAATCTTCAAAATCTAGCGGAGTGTTTGACCGTTTGTCAGCCTCGCATTCAAAAGTTAGTTCAGGAAAACAAGGCGACGATGAAAAATCTGGTACAAGTATTCAAAAGAAAACAGATACCGTTACAAAAAGCAAGTTACCTATAAAAAAATAAGGTTACTTCAACAAAACAAAAAAAGAAAAAGTAAAATAATAATTAAAAGTAATCAAAATACAGTGAATTAACAATCTATCAAAATCAAATAAAAATATTTCATTGAAGTAACAAAAACATTCCAGTGAAATAAAAGAAGAACAATTCATCGAATTAATGCAATAACATCTCTGTGAAATAAAGAAAAACAATTTAGTGAAGTAACGCAATAACAGTCCAGTGAAATAAAAAAAGTTGCTTTACAAAATTTTATAAATTTTTTAACATTTAAAAAAAGTTTTTAGGATTATAAGTTTAACTGTTCGCGTTTTTTTTACAACTATGGCCTGTAGTTGTAGAAAAAATTCGAACAATTTAATAAATTTTTTTGGTGTGTTTGTAATATTTTTATAGTTGTATTTTTAAAGTATTTATAGATAGAATTTTCTGATTTCTGTATCACTAACTCTTTTTCTGTTTTTATGTCCTGAAGTATAGCCAATAAAAAAGCACTTTAGCTAATCCAAACTTTATGATGAAGATTCTAAATTTGACGTAAGAGAAATTGCATACTACTCAATATTTGACGTAGGAGAGATTGGATCCTACTCGATATTTAACGTAGGAGAGATTGGATCCTACTTAATATTTGATGTAGGAGAGATTGGATCCTACTCTATAAAGTCTTAACAAATAAGAATCAAAACATTTAGCTTGAATAAATCGTTTAAAAAAAAAACTTAATGCGTAATTTTTTTAAATACAGATATTAAAAAGTACACAAACTTTACAAATGCTTTTTCTTTTTTTAGGTGAAATGTTTTAATGCGGGTATTATGGGTCTACCAGCCTCTTTATATTAGACTACCGATCTTTATATTTTTGTTAAAAATTTATTTTGAAAAAAGTTTTAAAGTGAAATCTATGCTTTGCAGAGTTTGCAATATTTATTTTACACTTGCTAATGTAAATTATCCTTGTACTTCTACCTTGATTAAGAATAGTAATAATAATAATATATTGTAATAATAACATATACTAATAATTATAATAATAACAACGCAGTCGTAGCGCAGTGGTTAAGCGCTTGCCTCAGAAACTAGAGATCCGCGATTCAATCCCACCTCTGGGCAAGTTTTATAAAATTGGAATGAAGGAGGCGTGAACTTTCTTTCAAATGCTCTTCCGCAATGCTCTGTAATAAGAGCATTGCGGAAGGACTTCATGGGGTACCTAAAATAAAAACATAAAATAAAACGTTTTAATGCTAAAAAAAATTGATTTTATCATTAAAAATGCAAATAATATTTAATGTTAATAGTTTAGCAATAATTTCTAATATCATAAGGTCACCAATAAACTCTGATGTTAGAAGCTTGGTACTTGTTATTAGGTGTTTGTTTATTTATTTTTTTTTTTTTTTTGCTTTTTGTGACAAATGGCACAACTATAAGTTTTCTTCCAGTTAAAATAACCTTGCATTGCAGTGTTTAAGCAATATTGCTTTAAATTCACACTGTACTCTTCTAACACCTTGTAACATTTCTTGTAACTTTATAATTATAAAACATCTGTACATTATTAATTTTGGTAGCTTAAGGTACATTACAACTACATTACTAACTAAATTATTTTGGGTAACTCAGGTAACATTACAATTAACATTAGTAACTTTGTGTAAAACCGAATTTTTTACATATTTTGGTGTAAAAGTTAGCATTTTTAGTTATAACTCTAATTGAAATGTTTATATACTGATTTTAGACAAACTATTACAAGAAAATTAGTTTTGCAAGCAATTTATACCAAAAATACCCACAGAACCAGTAACTTTGAGAAGCTTGAAAAATAAAAATAATTGAAAATTGGTAAAATGCATTCAGCTTTTAAAATGTTGAGCAAATATGTAAACAATGCTTAAGTGAAAAATAATCATAAAAATAAAAAAAAATACAAGGAGGTAACATCACTAGGTATTGTAACACATTTGCATATATTTTTTTTAAGAAACTTTTAACCAAAACATTTAAAAGAAAAAATTTAAAATGTGAAATACATAAATAATAATAATGATTTTTATGCTCCTCTAGGATGCATTAGAATACTGCTCTAGAACATTAATTTTATTGACATTAATTGGAAACTTTTTCTACAAATAAGATTCGCTGTGATTAATGAAGAAGGAAGTTAATTTTACATTTTGTAACAATTAAGTGATTGTCTTAAAATTTTGTTGAGCACTTGTAGTGAGTTTTACTAAAATAAGCATGGATATTAGAGTTAATGTAAATTAAGTTTATATAAATTTAAAGCTCCAAGCCCTAGTAGTAATGGTTTGCAAGGAGCAGTTCTATCAGTTCCAAACAATATTTTGCACGCATATTTACAGTATCGGACAAAACAAGTGCAATCAATTAGTTTCTTTATATAAAAGTGCTGCATTTTTTCAATTTAGAGAAATAACTATGTAACTATTTATTGACAATGTTCTTCAAGTTTTATTCATTACAAAGTTCATTATTTGTACACGAAAATTATTAAATTAATCAAAAATATTAAGAAAAGTTGATTTCCGTTTGGACAAAACAAGTGCAACTCCACAAAATGTTGACCAAGCTGTATTTCGCTATCAATATTTCGTGGCGAATCTTTTGTTGTCGAGCACAGCCTTGCATCTTCGAGGCATAGATTCGATCAGGTTATCAATGAAACTTTGAGGAATCGCTGCCCAGGTTTTTTGGATTTGTTCAAACAGTTGATCTTTATTACGAACACCTTCGCAATTAATTCTGCGGTTGACGATCTCCCTCAGGTTCTTAATAGGGTTGAGATCCGGAGATTAAGGCTACCAATCCATCACCGATAGGTGGTTGTCTTGAAACCACTGCTTGACTACTTTTGCTTGTTGTTTTGCTCAAAAACCCATTTTATTGGCATATTCCATTCAGCATGAGATAACACAACATTTTTCAGGATATTTTTATACATAAAACGGTCCATTATTCCATCGTTTCGATGTATTGGACCTAGACCGTTAGCAGAAAAGCACCCCAGGCCATTACATTGCCTCCACCATGCTTCACAATTTTATGGCAGTAACGTAAATCGAGGCGTTTTCCGGCCGGTCGACGTACACGGCAAATGCCATCGCTCCCAATGATGTTGAGCTTCGATTCATCACTGAACAGGACAGTTCGCCGTTTCTGCACATTCCAGTCAATATGAGATGTAGCAAACAGGAGTCTTTTCTTCTGGTTCTTTAGTGAAATCAGCGGTTTCTTTGCAGGGCGTCGAGAAAACAATCTGGCTTCAAGAGCACATCGTCTGATTGTTCAGTCCGACATAGGCAGCTCTAATTGCTTTTGTATCTCGACTGATGATATCCAGGAATCCTTCTTGACGGATCTGACGATCATAGAATTCTCTCTAGAAGTGGTGGAGCGCGGTCTTCCACCTTTGTTATCTGCTGCCAACTTCCCCGTAGAATGATATTTGAAACATTGTCTTGATACGGTCCATTTTTTCACGTGATATTTATCACAAATACTTTTTTGTGACATTCCATTTACGTAATCGCCAATAATTTTCTTTCTTAGTTTCAATCCAAGACTGTCGGGAGCCATTTTTGCACTTGAAGTCATAAAAATAATAAAAAATAAGTAATCACGCTTCTTAAGGCTTACCGTATTACATTTACTTTGTGATGATACAATAATGCTCTGTCAACACAACGTCTTGGTTGGATGTGGACTGTATTGATGTAATGAAACACTTGTTGTATTTCACTTCTTGTATTGATGTTCTTCGATAAAACACTTTGATAAACTGTCTTGATAATACTGACTGACTTCGATAAACTCACTTCGATAAACTGTCTTGATAATACTGACTGATTGACTTCCATATACTGACTGAATGACATGTCGGTTTACATGTCTCTTATATAGTAAAATGAACCTATGTGAACCTGCTCTGGAAGATTCTAGATGCTTCTTTCCGATGCTTCTGGAAGCTTCTAGATGCGTCATGATGCTTCTGAATGTTTCTGGATACTTCTGGATGCTTCTGGATCCTTCCAGATGATTCTTCTGGAAACTTCTGGAAGCTTCTGCATGCTTCTGGAAACTTTTGAAAACTTCTGGATACTTTAATTATAAAAAAACTTCCGTGACGTTGACACGAACCAGACTTAAGAAAATAAAACAAACCAAAAAGTTGCACTTGTTTTGTCTACGACAAAATAGCACTTGTCAACGAAATTCTGCCTGTGTGCTGTCACCTATATGCTGATTGCTCATATCATGGAATGCTATGTCTCCAAACTCCTTAACTGTTTGCTGTGGTAGTATAGTTCGTTTCGTTTTTAAGATATGTAAAATTAGGAACACTTTTTAGCATTGTTCGATGTTGATTGCAAATGTTTTGTCCTTTATAGTTTTTTAGACTTTTGAATAACTTCTGAATGATTTTATAAAATCATTTAATACAATTACATTTTTTTTAAATCTCAAACTCGTTTTTATCTTTAGTGCTGTTAATAATTTTGCTTTTGTTCAAGAAGTTTATTTTTGCAATGGGATGAATTTTGTTCACAAAATTCATCCCATTGCAAAAATAATGTTATAATGAAATAATTTTTTCTGAAATTTTTTTATTTTATTTGAGATGTTTCCTTTTTTTTTTTGTAAAAAAAAAAAATTTTGCTATGATTAAATAATCACGTAGTTATTTTAATACATGTTTGCTCGCTGTCCCTATCCGTATCTACTTCTTTAATACATGTTTGCTCGCTGTCTCTATCCGTATCTATTTAATAACCAGTCCTTGGTGTAGATGCCGGCAGTTATGACTGATTTTGAAAAGTATCTTCTCAGTGGGCACGGGACATAAAAAAGATATAACCTTAAAGTAAGCCGATATTAACATAACCTTGAAGTAAGCCGATATTATCGCTTATAGTATTATTTTTTTTTTTTTTATTTACTAAATTTTGCAGCTCTAAAATAAAATAAATCGCTCTTACCAATCTCAAATAAAATAAAGGTAGCTTAAGTATTAGAGGAGAACTTAGTTTCATAGCTTAAAGGTAAAAAAACATTAAATAGACAATGATACTAAGGCTTCGATATATATATTTTTTTTATTACAATCATTATTACAATTTCTATTATAACTTTATGTGTATAAAACGTAAGACATAAAAAAGAAATAAATAATATTTACAATAAAGATTTCGTTAACAATAGAAATATAACAATAAATATAACAATAAAAATTAGGAATAAAGAAATGCGGAAACTCGAAGAAGTGCTTGAGGTCTTGTCGTAGAGAACCGCTGGAATCACAACGCTTTAAATGAATTCATTTTTATTGATTTTTTGTAAATGTTTATTCGCTTTTGAATTGGATCTGTTTCGATAACTATTTATATAAACCGTTACAAAGAATAGTTAAAAATAATTAATATACTTCAGTTAATTTATTGATGTTTTTGATGACTTCATAGTGATTTGGTGATGTTAATATAGATCGAATAGATTAAAAATAACAATAACTGAGTTGAACATTTCTTGCATTAAAATTGTAAAAAATAAAATCAGGGTGGGGTGGACATTTTTGTTGATAACTAGCTCTTGTTCTAATATAGTTTTTTTTTTTTTTTTTTTTTTTTTTTTTTAAGTATATATTGTGTTTGCATCTTTACCATACAAGCGATCATAGGTGGTATCACCGAATCCTAATTCAGCCCAACAATTGCCAAGCAGTTTTAGTTGATTGTTCCTACGCCAGAGGTTATGCAGCACTATTCTTTTTTTTTTTTTTTTGAATATAAATAGACTGCAAGCACACACACACAACCATATTAACAGCACATATACACCCATATATATACCAGTATACATACCTAAATACATACATACACAGATACACATACATTTATACATAAATTATTATTATTTTTTTTTTAATTTTTTACAAAACCGTGTTATAAAAACCGTAATAAATTTTTTTATTTTTTGTTTTTTCAAATACCAAATAAAAAATAAAACAAACCTGAAAATTTATTCATACTAGCAATATAAAATATAAAGCAATATACAATACGAACTCAAACAATAAATACTTATACATCTATTCATAGCTATCAGTTTCAGTACAATCTCAATGTAACTATATACTTAGGTAAACTTAGTTTTAATAATAGGTAGACAAACCCATAACACTAGTAATATAGAAAAACGTTCTCCAAAGAAAGTATTAGATTTTTAAGCTTAGTTTTGAAAATAGAAAAAGAGGAAAGTAGATCAAAATTTTGCAAAATAACTTTATTCCAAAGATTAGGTGCACGATAATCAATACAAAGCTGATTAAACTTGGTTTGACATAAAACTTGATTTAGCAAATTATTATTTCTCAGTGCATGTCTGGTTTCAAAGTAAAAATATTTTTAAAAACGTCAGGAGTTAAGTTATTTTTCCACATATATACAAAACATAGAGTATTATATAAATTCACTTCATAAATATTAAGTATTCTCATTTCGTTAAATAAAGGTTTTGAATGAGTAAAACGATCGGAAAAATTAATAATACGAATTGCGTGTTTTTGACAAGAAAAAAGACGTTTTAATTTATTCTTTCCAGCACTTCCCCAAGCAATATTTGCATAATTTATATAATTATGGATAATCGAATGATAGAGTTGGGTCAAGCTTTTTTTATTTAGATAATCTCTAGATTTATATAAAATTCCAATATTTTTAGAAATCTTGGTATATACATGATCAATATGCTGTTTCCATGTAATGCGCTCATCAAGATAGACTCCTAAAAACTTTATGACAGAGTCCCTCTTAATCTCAACTTGGTTAATAAATATTTTAGGCAGATTTTTGGGTAGGTAACGTTTTTTTTGAAGCGGGTGGAAAATAATCCATTTTGTTTTATTAGTATTAAGAGTTAATTTGTTACACTTGAACTAGCTAGATATTTTTTTAAGTTCGTCATTCATATTACAATATAGCCTATTTATTATTTCATATAGCCTATGTGTGATTGAAATAATTCTTCATTAAATAGGCTATACATCAACACAAACTAACCAAAATAGTACAATTTCACATTTAGCTCCGAAGAGGTAAAAAAAATTGAAAATGTGTTTATGAGCATACGAAATTATGTAAAAGTATACAATCATATACCATACACATTCAAGGTGGGTGTGTGTGTAATGCCTATACATGTTTGCAAAATATTCGAGTCTTTAAGCACACAACACATTATTGCTAAACACTGCATCATCTTAATATGCATAAACATGTCAATAAACAAATTATTAAGCACATTGAAAGCACGATATGAATTCAAATGCAACAATGTACAAGAAACACCAAAAATGAATTACTCAGTAATTTTAAAAAATGACAGTTAGCACTAATTGTCATTTTGACTAGATATTGTCTAGCTGCATTACATCTTTATCATTACATTTTTCACTGAGTATAAAATACAAGCACATTGAAAGGAACTATATAATATTGCACGCTATGAATTCAAACACAACAGTGTACAAGAAACACAAAAAATGAATTACTCAGTAATTCAAAAAATGACAGTTAGCACCTGGTGTCATATTGACTAGAGTTCTCTAACTGCATTACACCATTTATCATTACACCTTTTACTAAGTTAACAATAAGAGCTATGTAACATCTTTTCCATATTAGCCTATTAATGACCAGGAGTGCATTAACATACTCCTATTATGACTCATATCACCTAATTGCAATAATTTTTTGAAGTTCATAAAATTTAAGTGATTATGACACCGTACTTAATCCTTGTGATAAAAAAAACTAAGCAAATTTAATGATACAGACAAGTCTTTAAGTAACTAGTTGCTTTGGCAGAGTTTGCTTTTCATTTCAAACATATATACCTCAAGAAAATTATAAAATGACATAAGCTGAGATGGATATCTGACATTAAAAACAAAAAACGCTGAAAATAAATCTGAAAGAGCATTGGCAGCTTTCGATGGCTTCACTAACAAGGCACAACCATCACAGATAATGTGAATGCTTCCTCAGTAGCATCCATTTTTAAAATGTACGGCTGAAACCTTTCGAGCTTTTGTTCTCTTGCTGGCAAGATTCCAAGTATGCTTCCAAACTATCACCGATCTGGTAAAAAAAGATTAATAAATAATGTTTTGAAGAAAAATTAATTAGTGGTTGTTATAAAATTGATAGCAAATAAGCTAAAACCATTGTTTTAGTTTATCATATAAAACGCATTTAAACTATTATTATTATTATTACATGCAAACGATAATATACAATGATCATTAACATCGACTTACTTTCATCTCGTCGATGAAATATTGGCGGGCATTTTTAGCTGATGTCCGATGCTTTCCCATGGTAGGTAGCATGTCCAGCAAACATAGCATCGCATTGGGACTTGTTGCATCTAATAACAAATAAATAGGTTTTTTTTACATACTTTTACAATAACTTAAAGTGCTTACACACAAGTATAATCCTAAATAATTGAATGTTGTACCTGCGGTGAAATTTTCAAAGTTCTGCGTTAGGTCAAGGGATTTGCCTTGGCCAACACAATAACGAAGCACTTTGAGAGCGAGGTTGCTTTCAAATAACGAAGCAGTTTGAGAGCGAGGTTGCTTTCAAAAAACGAAGCAGTTTGAGATCGAGGTTGCTTTCAATGTATGCTGCTGGATCTTCTCTTGGACTAGCAGTCATACTTTTGAAATCTTGTTGTACCTTAAAATCATATGATTGATTATTTTACAGAAACCTACAGTTAATGAAACTAGTTTTGCTTATATGTATGCAGACAAATAGTAAAATGAACATTAGTATATATCAACACTAAGCATTCTTTTAGTGCTTTTATCAAGCAACAATAATGAAAGTTGTATGTAGGATTTTGCATAGCTATAATAAAATACTTGAAATAAATGTAATGAAATTCTTCGAAAGAAACGAAAAGATTTTTGGATATAATTAAGTTTACTTATTATTTTATTGGGTGTATATCTCGAAAATTAAGCTATGTATGAGTTATTTTTTGCTTTTCAATGTTCTTGAAAACAGAAACTTACTAAGCCAGGCACATCTATAAAACGAGGGTATTTCTGAAGGATCTGAGCCATTGTAGGTCCAGCAGAACCTCCACCCCCTTTTATCCAACTCTGCCGATAACTGCACGTTTCAGCCATTAACGTATAGATTTTGTCTACGTTGGCCGATAATGGTACCAAATTCTGAAGCATGACCGCTTTTAATTCGGCATCCTCGCCAAACACCTCTATAAATTGGTCAGCCGCTTGAACCACACTATCATTGACTGCTGTACATAAAAATAAATGCAATAAAACAGGCTGATAAAATAGATCAACAGCTGCATATTTAGCTATAGATTTACTTAATAGATTAGCTCACGTGTATCTATAACTTACTCAATCCTAGGATTGAGTAAGTTATAGATACACAGCTGCACGTGTATCTATAACTTACTCAATCCTAATTTGTTCACTAATGCAATCGTACACTTAATTATAAGAAAACAATGACATACATAGTTTGTATCTTTGGCGATATTTTTGTTGCTGCTCAGGCAGTTGGCGTTGAATCTGCCTAAACCGGTTTTGTATAAAACCTGTCCCATCTGATGAGTAATAATGTTGCTTGATAAAAAAAAAAAAACAGTTTACTGCTTAAATTTGTATTGAATATACAAAAACAACAATTTTGACTTACTTTTCAGATTCTGATGACAAAATTGGTTATCATACTAAATTGTTATATAGAGCAAATATGGCATATTCATATATACTCGGTTAAACACATAACAATAAAATGCATGCACATACATATACTATTAGCTAATTATCAGTATTCAAATAAATACATAATCAGTATTCAAATAAATGCATTCTTACATATCCTTCGCCGAAACTTGATTTTTGGTTAGGAAAAGCTTCTATGATGCTTTTTGCCATCAGCACTTTCTTTTCTATTGGTGGATAACTAAACAAAAAATAAACTAAATAATGCTTTCTTGCACAACAATGTAAATAATTGTAAAAAATAACACATCGAAAACAAATCATTCTACCATTTCGCACAAAACTATAATTCTAACTGATCTGCCAACCCATCATCAATTGTATTTAACATAACAATGATTAAAATGCACATTGTTTTAATTGATTCTTGCATGAGAACATACGTGTTCTGGCGCATGTGTATTAATCTGTGATGCCGATTAATTTATTTTTTTAATCAATTAATCGGTAAAGCGGTCTATTAATTAATCAATTAATAATCGATTAAAAATAAATTCCTATGACGTCTACGTTAATAAGAGTTAGGGGGTTTAAATGGTGTGTACTTTATACTTGCCTATTCCAGCATGCGCTGCAATACTCATATTTTTGATTTTGATAAAATTTATGCATTTTAGGAAAAAAATCATCAAAAACTAAAAAATTATTCGATTAAAGGTTTGGCCGACTAATCGGACAATTAATCGATTAAACGTCACACCCCTACTAAGTTGTATTCAAGTGTGCATGTATGTGAATGTGAATGTACACTTCTGATACATACAAGCACACATATACAAATACACTTACAGTTACATATACACATTTTTATAGTAACATATTTGAAATAGATTTTTACTATAAGATATAATACTGCAATATATACCATTATTACTTGCAATCACAGTAACAGGCACATCCCTCGGTCGTTTACGTACAACTTGCTTGCTCGTGCTTGGCTGTTCCTCTTCCATGTCTTCCATGTGATGCACATCTGCAGCTGAAGTTATGCTAGTCATGCTGGTTTCTGGAGTAGAAATCTGCAATGGTTCGAATGTGTTGTCTGGTGTGCCGGGTATTATAGATAATGTTGTTACCAAGCTTCTGATAGCTTCATCAGCATTTAAAGCATAGACTATTGCACTGGGATTTAAATATTACACAATTTCATCATCACCGATATCTGTACCATCATCCATTTTGAACGAAGCGATATCAAAATCAAGCTTTTGGGCAGCTACATAAAGAAATTTTACATAGCCTAATAATAAAAAGTGATATGAACAAAATTGAAAAATTAAAATTTGAAGATGAAATGCTTATTTAGAGATGCTAGTTACAACTGCATGACGAAGAGCAACAAATGAATACTTTGATCTCGTGCCAGAAACAGTATGCAAAGCTAATGGATAATAGTCTAACAGTTCATCATACTCTAGTACTACACTTTTTCCACAGTCATCATTTTCAACTGCAAAAGCATGATAATGACTATCATAATAATGAGTGTGCAGTTCTTGGCAAACAAAATAAATGCCACCATCACTTAAAATAAACTCATCAATAAATATAAATTTGAGACACTCATCCATCTGTCTACCAACAACTAAAACATCTCCACTGAAATAATCCGTACCATTAGTCATTGTATGTCTACAAACATAAACTTCATCCAACATGCCAATGCACAATTTGTCACATACAGCAGATGCTGCCTTTAACACTCGCACAAAAATTAATTCTCCAGCACCACTATTTACATCCCTGCCACCAAATTTTTTTTTTAAATGCCAAGTCAAACACTGATGAATTTGTTGTTTAAGAGCTACAGTTTTACACACATTTTTGAAACTTGTAGCTGATTTTTTCAACTGATTATGTTTGGCCTCAAACCGCATACACCAACATCGACATGCCGGACCAGACTTTTGAAGACAAGCAGGATAATGAACTAAATTATGATATTTAGGTGTCAATCGTTTTGTTGGAAATAACTCCCAATACAATAAAAAAGACATACCAGATGAATATGCATGAGACGGGAGTTTAAATGGCAAGTTCTGTATCACCATATAGACTGCACCTAGTTTGTGAATTTTTGTTTTCGAGCCTAACGGATTAACAGTTTCAAAATTGTCGAAATATAAATGTAACTGTAATGCATCCGAATTTTCTATAAACAGTTGACATTCTTTGAAACGAGAAGCATCGCTAAAGTCACTTATTAAATTATTTGTGTTACTTTGTTGTTTTTTTAAGATGTCATACATATAGCTATAAACAAATCTAATTGTCTGATGAATTGGTATATACTGGTATGTATTAGGAATAGGGTATTGACATATTTTGCCAGTTTCCTTATCCAAACGGGATTCATAACGAACAGATATTGGACGTCCAACCGGCTCAACAAATTTCATATGATTTTTAAAGTGCTGTTCAAAGTTTCCTACTTCTTTCAAAATTGGCTTAACATTGTCAATTTCTTGAATTACTGATTCAAGTTGAGTTTTGGTTGTGGATATATGAACTGCATCTAAATTATTTGCGACATTCTTTAATTTATCAGAAAACATTTGACATAGCCCCTCTAATAAATCAGTAAATCCCTCCTGTATAATATCTAAGCACCCATACTTAGCATAAACTTTAAACAGTAGCTGTCTTAGCTCTTCCTAAAGTCGGTAACTTTATCATTTTCAGGCTCTTCTAATTGCTCACTCGTTTCAATTTCATCACACAGATTTTCTGGTTCATTATCAACTGTTTTTTGTTCCATGGAGCTTGCATCTGTCGAAGTAAGCTTATGCTTTCTATGTAAATGAGTCGATAATGAGCTTAAGCTATCAAAATATCTCATACAGCCATCTTGTCCACAATGAAGTGCTACTTTATCATATTTAGCTAAGCTATGTCTCAAGTGAAAATGTGTTAAAAAGTTCTTAATTGTAAAAGCAACAATACTTTTTATACATAAACAGCAGTAACAGCCCATTGTTTCGTGTAGAAGAAACCTAATTGTTTGCACCTTCTATTTGAGATGACCGCTTATAAGAAAAGTTATGAATAACAATACTCAATGATTATTTGTTTTTAAATTCAGCCAAATTACTGCATACCACAGCTGCTTTTACCGAACCGTCTAGAGTCCAAACTTTCAACAATTTATTAGACATCTACAAGCAAATAACTATTTACAACTAGAAACACAAGATTATATTAATTAAATCATATTATAAGATGCATCAACGAGTTATATTAGAATAATACAGTAAAATCAATTAAAACCATAATTTCATACAAAATATAATAAGTTATTTAAAATATAGGTTAATAACAATTATTATTATTGTTATACACCACTAAAATAAAAAAAAACTTAAAAACCATAGCTTAATAACAATATGTAATGTGTTCAGTAACAACAAAAATATCAAACTGATAAACTTAAAAGCTACTTGCTTGTAATTGAATGAAAAAGTTACAATAATTACGGACAAAATTTAAAATATGTCATTAAAGTACGCCATGCTAGTATTTATGCATTAAATCACAATAAAAATTAATTTATTTTCCTTATAACTCTAATTAGTGATTACAATTATAATTGCAGTGTATAGAGTGATAATAGAGTTAAACTTATTCTTAACAATATGCAACTATTAAACTAATTTGACAAAAATACAAATTAAAACATGACTTATCTAATGGTTTTGAAGTAATACGATGCACAGTGAAAGTAAACAAAAATATTAGAAAGACTTGCTACTTATGACAGTATTCATTAGCAACACAAATTCTGATTTCTGATTAAAAATGTAACTAAATATAAATTGGTATTTGACCAAGAGCTATTTTACAGTTTATGTACTAACACTAATTATCGCTCATGCAAAAACATTACTAGAAATCAAATAAGTTTATATATTTAATTAGCATCAAATACAATGTATTACGCAAATATTTGAATAATCATTTACATTTGCCTTAGTTACATTTACACAATTGTATCAATTATATTTGTCCACCAATTGATGCAGCATGTATATTGAGTGAAATTATATAAATGTGAATAAAGAACAGCAAATAAAAACAAAAGGTTTAACTACTCTTTTATATTATAACACCAAGGTTTTATTTTTAAACATATTGTAACAAAAAATGCTTCTTACCGAAGAAAACAAAAATATTTCTTTTCTTCTCTTTGTTCGAACTTCGAAATAAACACGCACGTGTAATATTAAATTACACAATTTTGTGTTAATTCTACACAAATTTTTGTGTATCAAAACTACACATTTATTTTTCCAGTGTATATAGTAGGTTATTGCATTGAAAATAATCATAGATTCTATTAGACATAATTCTTTCTAATATTTTTGAAAATATAGGTAAGATAGAAATGGGTCGGTAGTTGCTAAGAATAGCCCTATCACCTTCTTTAAAAATTGGGGTAATTTTTGCAATTTTTAGTTGTTCAGGAAAAATTCCTTGATTAATTGACGCGCTAAAAACTTTAAAGAGAATATCTTTTAATTGTTCAAAACAGTTTAGAATTATATTACCATTAATGTCACCTGCTCCAGTAGCTTTATTTTTTTCAGAGTTTTAAATGCTATTTCAAATTCTTCAAATTATAATTTAGAAGACAACTCTCCAGATGTATTGCAATCATTCATCGGTTCTAGAAAATCACTAAATATAGCCTGCGTCTTTGGAATCTTATTGGCTAGTTCAGGACCAATTTTAACAAAAAAATTATTAAACTCGCAAGATATTTCTTTTTGTTCATAGATAATTCTGTTATCAACCTTGATGACCTGGGAAGGAAACCTGAGCAGCCTTTTTGTTTCCCGCTTATTTCTTTTATTATTTCCCATGCACGTTTGGAGTTGTATATTTTTTCATTTTCTAGTGACTTTGTTTTTAAATACTTTATATACAGTTTCTGCTTGATCTTCGATGATTTTTTAAAATCTTTGGTAATCCAGGCATTAAATGTTTTTTTTGGATTTATTGTCTTTTCTATGAATGGAAAATTTGCATCGTAGATAGAATATAATGTGTTGAAAAAACTATAGAGTTTGCGTCATCGTTGAAGTTTATATGTTTCCAATGGAGCAATGATAGTTGCTCTTTAAACTGATTAATATTATCCTTGTTAATATGACGCAGTCTAATTTTTTTGCTTGTCTCAATCATAGTTTCGGGAATACAGTTAAATGTTAAAAATATAGGGAAGTGATCGGAAATATCAGTTTTTAAAATACCTTTTTGTATGTTTTTATTAAGGATATCGGTTGTAATAATATTATCGATAAGAGTAATTGTGTTTATTGATACTCTTGTTTGTCGAATAATTAAAGGAATTGCTCCTAATTCAAATATTGCGTCATAAAACTTTTTAACTTTAGAATCCTCATAATAAGAAAAAGTATTCATATTGAAGTCTCCAATAACAAAAAGTTTTTTTTTTTCTTTTGTGCTTTTTTTGAATATGTTTTGTTCAAAAAAAATTATATAGCCACAATGATCAATTAAGTTAACTTTTATTATATTTAATTTGTTATGCTACATGCATAAAACACTCAAAAAATAAAAGAGGAAACGGTAAATAAAGATCTCTAATGAAACTAAAATCATTATTTTCTACCATTTTCTGTAACTTATTGAAAACAAATATAAAATAAGTGTGAGGTGTGTATCAAACCTACCATGAACTGTATTACGGGTCCCGGACTTTCTAGTTGATTATAAGATTTCATAAAATGACAAAATATAAACTAAATACATATTATTTTAAGCTCAATTTAGAGTTTTCATTATTTATTGAAATTTAAAATGTTTTCTTTTTTTAGTTTAGTTAAAGTATAAAAGCAAACAAATAAGTCAAAGAAACAACACAAACAAAAGTCAAAGAAACAACACAAACAAATAAAAAAGTTTATAGTAAAAAGACTATCGTTTTAAATAATATAATAAATATATTATTAAATAACAATAAATAATAAGTTTATTAACTATAATTAGTATTGTTATAACTATTGTTAAAGAAATTTTTAAGAAAAATTTTAATTCTTTTTTATTTAGGATAAGTATTTGCTTAAGTTTTGTTTCGAATTGATTAAGAGAGAAGAAATAGGCTAAAGGTCATTATTTAAAAATGTCTGTTTAACAAATTATGTCCTTGGTTTGCAATTGAAAACTTGGTAGCTGAATAATAAGATTTAGATCAAATGTAATTGTATTTAGAAAATATAGTAGATGTGGTTTTTCAAAATTTAAGAAGATCGATAACTTTTTCCTTAATCAAATTTAAACATGAAGTCGAAGTATAAGAGATAAAGATATTAATATAGATATAATATAGACAGAGATAAATAACTTTAGTGCCTCGACCACAACAGCAAATGACAAATTGTTTCTCTTCTCAGAGAGTACAACCTCACTTAAAGCCTCATCAAAATAGGTTCCTGCATAGCAATTAAAAAATTTGAACACAAAATAGCCAACGACAAACGGAACTCTAAACATCTCTACGCTTTTGTTAATAGCAAGCACGCCGTAAGAAATCAAATAACTTCTATAAGCTTACCCTCTGGGGAAATAAGCAGCGGCCATTTTTATCAGCGATAAAAAAAAAGATTATCAACGAGCATTTATCGCCAATATACAGAAAAGTGAGAAAATATAAAGAAAAATGAAGAATTACTAAGAAAATATAAAGAAAAATGTAGAAAATATAAAGAAAAATGAAGAATTACTCAGAAAATATAAAGAAAAATAAGAAAAAATGTAGAATTAACTAAGAAAATATAAAGAATGTAGAATTACTAAGGAAAAATAAAGAAATACTAAGAAAATGTAAAGAAAAATGAAGAATTACTCAGAAAATATAAAGAAAAATGAAGAATTATTAAGGCAATTATTATGTTCAACCAAGAAGGTTAGAATAGAATGGAGGGAGAAAAAAGCCGAAAATTGTTTAAAATTGTAGTACAGCCTTTGATGTATAATTATTCCAGCGGCAAAATGGTGCTTTTACGTTGAAAAAGGAAAATTTAGAAATGTAGCTTGTAACCTTTGTATGCTGTAATCAAAATGGATTACTCCCTTAAAAGTTGGCTTAATAAGTTTTTAACAACTGTTCCAACAACCTGTTCAAGTAGTAACTATAATAAAAATCGTGATCTACGTAAAGTAATCGTTTTTTGAGTACCTTGATACTAGGTATAAATATCAAAGTTTTAAACAGTCTCTACTACTTGGTTAAACCTTATCTTTTACTTACCCGTTTAGCTATAGGTTTGTTACGTTCTTAAAGAACGTTTTTTTTGGCAAGAAGCCTATTATATCTGTCCAGGATTTTATTTTGTGTTGTAGTATTTTTGCTGGATTTAAAAACCAATTGCTTTTTTTTAAATATATAGATATAAAATACTATTTTGTAAATCCGACGAAAATACTACCAGTTCTTATCTAGACATTAATTCAATTCTATACAAATTGAGGTACCCATTGCAACCAAACAAAAATACCTCCTTAATAGGTAGATTTTATATAAGTGTAGATTTTATATAAGTAAGCGGTCAAAGGGGCTGTGGCGCAGTTAGTTAGAGAGATTGCTTTAGATCCATGGTTCAAAGCAAGGTCTGGACATAGTTCGCACCATTGACAAGGAAGTAGATGTGAACTTTCTATTTAAATGTTCTTTTAAAGTGCAACAAGACAGTTAGGTCTTCTTTCTAAGGTGCTCTGTGACAAGACAGTAGGGTCTTCTTGTAACACCTAAAACAAAAATTTAACAAAAAAAGTACTTATAACAACAACAACAACAACAACAACAACAACAACAACAACAACAACAACAACAACAACAACAACAACAACAACAATAACAACAACAACAACAACAACAACAAGATATTTGTTCTCCTTTTTAAATCATACAGTAATATTATAATAATAATGATAAATATAATATTAATAGTAAAAAAAAAAACATAGTTCTATTGATTGTAGTAAGTAAATTAAAAAACAAAAACAGCTTGTTGCCATGCAAAACTAGGTATCTATAGCAACCAAATTAAAAATGTCACCATTACAAGAGGCAAAGACTTTTTATATTGCTTTCAAATTTAGTGGTTACAGCACTAATGTTAAATTGTTTATTAGTCTCAAAATTTGCGATTCTGGCCCACTGTGCTTTGTAATCAAAATAAAGTTTTTATTAACT